TGCTGCGGCTGCTGCAACTGCAGGGGCGGCGGCTCAGCTGAACTGGGCAGGGTCCCCTCGTCCGCTCTAGCACCAGACGACCCGACCCCACCACTACCCCCTCCGCACCCCCGCCTCCGCCTCCGCCGCGCCCAACCTTGGGGCGGCGGCCCTTCCCGAACGAAAACTGCGCAGCAGCAGCAGTCTCAGCCACTGCGACAGAGCCGTCGGAAAAGGTACACTGGGCAGGGGCACAACCCTGAAAGATAGGGACCGGCACGACACCGCTCGCCTGGGCGATGGAGCGGTGACGGGTCTATCACAGTCAGGGTGTCGACAAAGTCAGTGAGGGTGAGGTCGGGGGGTGAAGGCTAAGGAAGCGGTCGCGGGCGACAGCAAGGCGGTCAGGGAGGCGGGTGGCAAGCAGGTAGAGGGTAGAGGTAATGGGCGGCTGGTGGGCTCTAAGCTGTGCGTCAGTGCAGGCGGCGGACCAGGTCTCCTCTATCGAGCGCAGGTGGGCAGCGAGGTCAGAGACAGTGGGGAAAGAGGCAAGGTCAGGAAAAAGCATCGGGAGGATCAGGCGACCCCACCGAGGTAGCCGGAGGGTGGAATAGCGCTTGATGACAGCATCTAAGTATGCGTGAGAAGTAGTGAGGGACCTAAAGCGAGGACGCTCGGACGGGGGAGGGCGTTGCTAATGGCAAGCTGGGCGACATCATCGCGAGAAAAGCCAGACAGAGCGCGCACGGGCAGTGGCAGCAGTAGACTCTTGCTCAGTGGGTGTGGGGTCAGCGGGAAGAATAGCAGGGGGGTCTGGGCAGGGGAGCGTACCGTCAAGATGTGCAGCGGTTCACCATCCTGCCGCTGGCCAGTGAGTTGGCGGCGGAGGTTGGCAAGCCACGCCTCGAACTCCAGGGGCTGACCTTCAGCGTCGAAGCGAAGCTCGCAGTTCGCAGTTCGCGACAAACACTTGGAGTTGCGCGGAACCCTGCGGAGGTTCGACCGACGACATCCGTCCGATGGAGATTCGACGCTTCAGATCGACCAAGGCGAAATCGAAATCCTGCTGAGAGAGTTCGAGTTTCGGCGCAAATGGGAACGGGACCTTCGCAAGCCGCGAAGTTTTCGGAGCGCGTCCGATCGTTCGACAGCCAACATCGACGACCGAGAATTGCTGCAGGAAACGAGTTTACCCGGACACTGAAAGATGCTGAACGCGTCTCGGGAGCATAATCAGATCGCTTGGAGTTTGGACCGTCGGATCAACCTGTACTTCAACGGACGAGATGGAGCGCGACTTCTGCACAAAGGGAGAATGACGCGCAGAAACCAGAAATCAGCCGCTTTCGACACCGTGTCATCACCTGGACAACCCGAATCGAAATCCTTCATTTGGTGACGAATATGGCGCGCAAATCATCTGCACAGTCAGAAATCTGCCAGAGTATTACCTACTTGGTAATATCTGCATGCAGAAACATGACAGGAGAACGTGGATTGTCGGATCGGTGCGGAATCAACGGCACGAATGCAGCGGAGACTACACTATAGGAAATCATCATCATGGAAACAAAATTCGTGACCAGCGACTGCACAATCGACGCATCTTCTGACTGGTGTCGATAACGATCGAGTTATTTTGACGAAGTCATCTTCGTTAAAAAATGGACCGACATCAACACAGCGAGATCTTCATCCAGGAAAAACAATGGAGCTGCGTGAAGACATGTTCTCCATCCATGAGATACTTTATCTCTCATAAATTGGATCGACAAGCCATGGGATTGCAGAGAAGTAGCTGTTTTCTCTTGCAATGCTCCCAAGTTCAAGTTGCTGTGAAGGGCAGATTTCGCACGCAACGACGACGCAGTGAACCCCGTCTCGTCAAGGCCAGCGAGACACTACTTCGTAACAGGAGCTGAACGATTCGTCTTCATCAAGAATCTCAGCCATCCGAGGTGATTGATTGGAGCAGTCTCAACATCGACCTCACGAGGCGACACACCAATCATGCGTCGCGATTCCAGGTGTTAATGACCTGCGTGGAAGAATTTTCCGTGCACGTCACGATGCTTGACAGATTGAGGAGTAATTAACGTCTAATCCGGCAAGTACTCGTTCACTAGCGACCCTACGGCACATGCATTGGAGGCGATTCTACCAGAAGCCGAAGCGTTACAAGCACCAGCGTAACTTCGACGATGCAGGAGAACGTCAAGCAACACGAGGTGTCAACAAATGAGGGAGATGCGGACTACTACAACACAATCACGCGCTCTACCGACCGTACATCGGAGGCACGGATGAGCATACCAGGAATTGCTACCCGTGGATACATTGAGGGGAGAAGCAAATTTCTCTTCACACCCTCAAATGAAACAATCACCGGCAGCAATGGAGCTACACATGTGTACTAATGTGCACGTGTTCCTGGTAGTTACGCCTGTTACACCCATCAGGGACACTCTACTGGGAAGAGGGAGTTGATGGATTCTCCTTCAACCGGTACGAGTTGAGAGAATTCTCTTCAGCAGCTGCCGCCGTCGCCGTCGTCGCAACCGCCGCCGCCGCCGCAGCAGAAAACTCGACACAACAGTCACAACCAAACCCTGATGGATGATTCTCCGCTCAATGGAGATAATGCTGGATTATATTCCAGTGGATCGTAAAGTCCCGGCCAGGCACAGTACTATGATTTCCAGCTAGTGGGAAGGAGATACCACTATGCGAGGAAACAAAATGGCAATGCCATACACCCTCAAGAGCGGAAGATATTTGCTCTTATGAGGATGGGAGGACCACGGTACTCTACCGGTATACAAGTCCTCATGGCCTATGGCTTTCCTTAAAGTCATAAAACCTGCGTCACAACCAATCCATCACCAGCACCAACTCCACGGAAGCAGATAGGCGTGGAATGGAGCGCCGACGCCACTCCGGACAGTGGACTCCGCGTATCTCCAACAACACCCCTGTTTGCCGAAATGGAGCAGACTTCAACATTAATGCTGAGTAGCCGAGACGTCTTCGACTGCAACGCTACTTCAAGGACAGTGGCAAAATAAGACAACACATGATGGCACCAGAAGACCTATCCCAATATGTGCGCCCAGACACCGATGCCTACCGATGGCCTCCGTGCTAAACTGGAAGCGCATAAGGTCATACTGGATTGGCTGTCAGCAATGCCAATTTGGAAATGGGAGAGGATTATTTGGGAATAACCCCTCACAGTGGGATATCTATGCAGCAGAGATTCCTTGCTTGAGCAACCACCGAGGGAAACTACTTTGGCGCCGATTCTGGAAGTTACCAGCTCCGCGTTGTGGTACCAACCCCTCGCATGGTTTTGAAGACAAGGGATACACTGAGCAGCACTATACACACGCTGTTGTACTCAAGGTAGTGTGACTCGCAGATCGCGTGGTGGACAGGGTTACTACTAGTGATTATGCTCTCCATTCTGCAGCACTACGATGCCGAGTGGGTACGACTCGCGACAACACTACGGCATGGACCAGCATTCGACAGAAGCTGCATGTAACGGATACAACACTGCTACAGAAGCAGTACTACGACACAACTGCCATACCACCAACACTTGGTGATCTTCACACGTGGACCAGATGCGGGTAACAGCATGCACAGATCGGACAACATAGCCACTCATCTGCAGGTTACAGCATACTGTTCCAACCATTCACATCTCCAACTCCGACTTGCATCTGCCCGTCCTGGAGTTTGCCTACAAGTATGCTCCTGACGCCGCTACTGGACAGACGCTGTACTTCGTCTGTTACGGACGCCACCCGATCACACCACAACAGCTAACCATATCAGCCACAGTCCGACTGGCTTCCGATTTCATCGCCATCGTCCACCATCTTGTACATCGACCACACAAGCGCCCTCTTGGACATCCAACATCAGCACAAGCACTTGGCAACTCATCACTACCCTTCTCGAGACCATAATCTCGACATCTGCCATCTTCTATCCAAGCGTCAACCTTGCTTCTGCGGGTCTATCATCGTTGAAGCAAGGGTTACTTCATTCACCTTCCGCTTCCGCCTACCAGCCACTTGGAAGATCCATAAACCTTCCATACCAGCTTCTTAAACCCTATCAAGACCACACCCGTTCTACACCGAATGCCAACCACCGTCATCGCCCGTGTTCATCCACGACATGCGACAACTACGTGCTTGGACACCGTCGTCATCGGAATGGCACTCTGGAGCTTCTTCTTTGGTGGAAGGGTTCTGATCCTTCTGAGGCTGCGTCTCTGATACGACATGGATAACGCCCGTCGTCCTCTTCGCGACTACCTTGTCAAGCAGGGTGTTACGTCTACCACCCAGCTTTGAGGGGGGGAAGTGTGAGAGTACGACCCCGTTACACCAATTTTCCCTTTCCATATTTCCTTTCTATTTCATTCCTCTTTTTATCCTCATTCATTTGGTCTTTATCTCATCTAATTTGGTTTCCTATTCCTCATTTTCCATTATCCTTTGGTTTATCCTGTTATTATAATTATATCACCGACCAGGCTCGGGATGTACTGGCGCGCTATATCTAGCGTAATCCTGCCGTAATCCCTTAAAGCCAATAGCCTCGCGTGGCTATACGCATGGTGATTCTATATTCTAGAAGGGTCTATTCCCTTTGGATAGGATAAACCTGGTTACCTGATGTAATCTGGAAGTATAAAAGCACCTTGTACTGAATGATAGTGCAACATTGAGCAAACCTTTCCTCGGGACATTCGATCCTGTGACAAGTGCGGTGCAGTGCGGTACAGTGCGGTGCAGTGCGGTGCAGTGCGGTACAGTGCGGTGCAGTGCGGTGCAGTGCGGTGTAGTGCGGTGCCAGGCAGTACAGTGTGATGCGAGGCGGCACGGAGCAGGGCGGGGTGGGGGGGAACCGTACCAGTGAGGAGGACGGGGCCGGGGCTGGCCCGACGGGGCCAGGCAGGCGCGACGGGGCCGGGCAGGCGCGACGGGGCCGGGCTGGTGCGACAGGGCCGGGACGGGGCGACGGGGCCGAGCGGGCGCGACGGGGCCGGGCTGGGGCGACGGGGCCGGGCGAGTGCGGCAGGGCCAGGCCGGTGCGACGTGGCCGGGCGAGCGGGACGGCGGCCGGGCAGGTGCGACGGGGCCGGGCGGCTGTGACGGGGCCGGGCAGGGTGCGACAGGGCCGGGCGGGTGCGACGGGGCCGGGCGGCTGCGACGGGGCCGGGCAGGGTGCGACGGGGCCAGGCGGCTGCGACGGGGCCGGGCGGGCGCGACAGCGCCGGGCGGGCGCGACAGGGCCGGGCGGCTGCGACGGGGTCGGGCAGGGGCGACGGGACCGTGGGGGGTACTACGCGGCCCAGGAGGGGCGCTACGGGGCCCAGGAGGGGCGCTACGGGGCCCAGGAGGGGCACGACGGGGGCCCAGGAGAGGCGCTACAGGGCCCAGGAGGGGCGCAACGGGGCCCAGGAGGGGCGCTACGAAGCCCAGGAGGGGCGCGACGAGGCCCAGGAGGGGCGCTAAGGGGCCTAGGAGGGGCGTGACGGGGCCTGGGAGGGGCGCTACAGGGCCCAGGGAGGGCGCGACGGGGCCCAGTAGGGGCGCTACGGAGCCCAGGAGGGGCGCGACGGGGCCTGGGAGGAGCGCGACGAGGCCCAGGAGGGGCGCTACGGGGGCCCAGGAGGGGCGCTACGGAGCCCAGGAGGGGCGCTAGGGGCCTGGGAGGGGCGCGACGGGGCCTGGGAGGGGCGCGACGGGGCCTGGGAGGGGTGCGACGGGGCCCAGGAGGGGCGCTACGAAGCCCAGGAGGGGCGCGACGAGGCCCAGGAGGGGCGCTACGAAGCCCTAGGAGGGGCGCGACGGGGCCTGGGAGGAGCGCGACGGGGCCCAGGAGGGGCGCTAGGGGGCCTGAGAGGGGCGCGACAGGGCCCAGTGAGGGGCGCGACGGGGCTAGGGGGGGGTCGCGACTGGGTGAGCGGAAGCGGTAGGTGGGGGGGATCCTACCTACGCTCTGATACCATATCAAATTGAAAATTGAATGTATGATAGAATGAGAGTACACAAAGATATACCTAAGTGTTGTACCCTCTAAGAGGCGACCCTATACAGTCTATACAAACATGACAAATACACATGTTTGACAGCGAGCAGTATCGAGTTTCTCGATAAGCAACCATGCTGAGAGCTGGCATTCGCAAAGCATCGAGCGTCTCTAGGGTGACGTCAGCATACCTTTCAGGGCTTACCTTAGGGTTTTCGTCTACACGTCAGATCCAGTTATCTCTCTCGCGGGACCCAGATAAAACGGGTTTATCTGGAACGTTACCCGTCAATGTCCGGGTTCAGTCCCGGAATTTTTTCCGTGATGAAAAACGCTCTGACGAAAAGTTTGTGGATTCTACAAAGGGAAACAGGTACGAATGTTGTGCTGCGCTCAGCTCTTATACTTCTACTTCTTGAACTTCCTTGCTAGGGCTTATGTGCCCTGGGGGGAGGGAATGGCGGGGGGATCTGTTGGGTGGTGTGAGAAGTTTTAGTATCCGTGCTTCTCAAAACCGAACACGTCACTTAGGGTTGAGCATACTACCCGCCCGGGTCGGGTACCCGGTACCCGGATCCACTTTTAGGGCGAGTCGGGTATCGGAAATCCTGAATATTACCCGGCGGGTCGGGTCCAGATTACCCGGGCGAGTATTCAATACCCGGTACCTGAAATGCTACCCGACCCGAAATCGGGTAGCGGTCTACCCGACGGAACCAGCAAGACATTAGTCGCGCCGGTAGAGAAATTTCATCAAGTTTCTAGGTTACGTGAGCTGCTACATCACTTAGAGCATTGTAGATTGGCATGGGTTGGGTTTCGTAGACACAGATGCATTCAGAATGGTTGAATTGGGGGGAATTGGTTGGAAGTCAAACCAATCGAATTTCCCCAATCGAATTTGCAACCCAACCTGAATCCAGCCAACCGCACAGCACCACATTGGTTGGAGTTCCAACCAATTGACTCTGGGGTTCAAAGAATCAAACTCAAGAAACCGCACACAACCCCATCCCCACTAGAAAACCCAACCAACTCCCCACTTAGACCCCACTCACGACCCACTCACCACACCAGAAGTGTTAAAGGTTTGGCGCACCTCATACTCCCTCCCGCAACTCACGTTTTTTTTATGCACTATCTATGTCGTAGGCTTAGTAGCCCAACATGTTAGAAAAACGCGGGTAATACTACCTGCTTTTCAAGGAAACCGGGTGGGGTGTACCCGGACCCGCCAGGCGGGTATTAAATTACCCGCCTCCAAATCCCGGGTCGGGGTATTGGTACTGGGCATGTTACCGGACCCGTACCCGACCCGAAAATACCCGACCCGAAGTCGGGTATAGCAAAACCGGGTCGGGTCGGGTAAATACCCGGTTTTGCTCATGCCTAACGTCACTTCACCCGTTCTCGTCAAAATGTACCAGTCAAATGAGGGCTCATGAAAATCGAACACGTCGCAATCCGTGGTAAAACAAACTCACCCGTTATTTGGTCAAAATCCGGGTAATTAGCCGTTAACAATAAGCCCTGGTAACATTTGAGTCAGCGCGAACAGGCGCAACAAACCGCTTCAGTTACGCGAACAGTTGCGACCCTATCGAATGACAAATAGGTCGCATAGCGCGCAATTAGCCGAACATGTACTTTCCCTAGAGCTATAAATCCGTGTAATGCCTTTCTATTATCAACATTGACTTTTCACAGAATTATTTGCTCTGGTTATTCAACCTTCGACTACCCACAAGTTCATGTTCTCAGGTTCACTCTTATAAGTCTTCCGATGTCTTACTAGTCTACCATTCAAGAATTACGATCCTTACAAGTACTGTCGAGTAGTGGACATACTACTCTCAAGTCTAGACTCAAGCAGGTTCTATATTTAGTCTCCTCCATGTCGAGCACCCCTTTTACAAATTATTACATGTAAAAGAGCGATCCGGAATTAAGACTACTGTCAATTCTACAAATGACCGGACCGGCATTGACAAACATATATTGTATGTTGTTATAGACTATATAGGGTTGTGCATTAGGGAGTACAACCCATTAGGTTATGTTCCCTTGTATGTTTCTATTCTAGTCATCCATTCACTTCAATATGGTATCATAGCAGGAAGGTCCCCACCCCTCCCACTAGCGCTCCTGCCATAGGACCTAGCCGCCCCGTTACCCTCCCGCGCCTAGCTGGCCCCGTAGCTCCGCCCGTCCTGCCGCCTAGCCGGCCCCGCTTCCTAGCAGGCCCCGCCTCCTAGCTGGCCCTGCTGCCCAAACGGCCCCGTCGGCCCCGCCTCCTAGCCGGCCCGCCGCCCAATCGACCTCGTCGTCCTAGCCGGCCCCGTAGCCCAGCTGCGCACGCCTCCTAGCCGGCCCCGCCTCCTAGCTGGCCCCGCCGCCTGTTGGTGCAACCCTATGGCTTGCACTCGGCTTGTCGTCCTTGATTGTGTGTATGCATGCATGGCATGGAATGAATTGTGAGTCTATGCCATTGCTATCCAGTGCTTGTGTGTGTGTTTGAATGGTGTATCACAATGTGGTTTGTGTCGGTCAAGACATTAGCAGGTTTTTACAACTCGCATGTCAAGCCGTCGTTTGTGTGTCGCATGTGTTTTTTCTATTTTGTCGAGTGTGAAGTGTCCATCGTGTCGCAGGTGTGTGCAGCAAGCCCCCATCAACTCAAGAAGAATTTATCTTGAAGATCCAAGAACAAGAGCTCAAGATTTCAAGCCCAAGGGACGCGGATAAATATTAAATAGTGAAAATAGTAACGTTACTTCGTGTAGTGTTGCATTTCACTTGGTGTAGCCCTTTGGAGGGTTGGTTTCGAGACTCTTCATGGTTGGGGACTCTGTGGTGGTGTACCACCAACCTGGACCTCGGCTCTTGGGGTATGTAGAGGCTGGGAACCATCTCCCTCTCGAACTCTTCTTGCTAAGTTTGTACTTCCAAGACTATAGTGGCTGCTATACCTCCTGCCAGTAAAACTGCCATAGCGTCGTCAAATCTTCATGGAATTTCATGATTCAACTTGCTGCTGATAGACGACAGCAACGCGCTCTAGATACAACTTACAGATCATAGTTTGATTCAGCGACCAGATCGTTATCAATATTTGAAGCCGTCTGACAGAAATCCGACTATGCTCTCTATCTCTCATTATAGGCACATCTGAGCCTATTGTGATTATAACACCGCCCAGTTGGTCTTGTCAACCCCGCCTCCTAGCAGGCCCCTCTGCCCAATCGGCCTTGTCAGCCCCGCCTCCTAGCTGGCCCGCCGCCCATTCAGTCTCGTCGACCCCGCCTCCTAGCTGGCTCCACCGCCCAAATCGGCCCGTCGCCCTCGCCGGGCCCGTCCTCTCAGCCGGCCCCGTAGCTCAGTCGGCCTTGCCTCCTAGCCGTCGCCCACTCGGCCCAGTCGCCTAGCCGGCCCCGCCGTCCGACCGGCCCCGTCGCCTAGTTGGCCCCCGTCACCTAGCCGACCCGTAGCCCAGCCGGCCGCCCATCCGGCCCCGTCTCCTTGCCGGCCCCACCTCCTAGCCAACCCCGTCGCCTAGCAGGCCCCGTCGCCCGACCGGCCCCCTCCCCTTGCTGGCCCCGTCGCCTAGCCGGCCACGTCGACCCGCCACCGTCCTTGGCCCTTTGCATCGCGCTGCACCGCTCGACATCGCTCTGCACAGCACTGCACCGCATTGCACCGCCCTGCACCGCGCTGCATCGCACCGCACCGCATTGCACCGCCCTGAATCGCACTGCACCGCCCTGCACCGCACCCTACCGTATTGCATCTCCCTCTACCGCACTGTACAGCACCATATCGCATATCACCGCTTTCCACTGCACCGTACTGCCCCGTACCGCCCTTCTGCTGGTGCAGCGACCATGATGGCAGACTCGGTCCTGCGTTTTGATGCGGAGGGGCAGCCGATTGAGTTCGACTCGTGGCTCGTCGACCTCCAACGACACCTGACTGGTCAGCGGCAGGATGGCCACTCCTTGGCCGTCCACATCGAAGGTACGCTACCCTGCCCGGACCCCCCTACTGCTCTCCCCGCAGACCCCACATCTGCTGACCATGAGTCCGCTGCCGCTGCTGCCCTTGCCCGTGCTGTCTGGTTGTCGTGTGACGCTGTCGCATAGCTTGCGATTAGTCATGCCCCCCCCTGTCCGAGCGCCCCCACTTTAGGTCGGTTTGGACTGCGCAGGAGTTCCTAGAGCTTGTTGTTGCGCGCTATTCCACCCCGCCCTCTACTTCCGTTGGTCGCCTGATCCTGCCCATGCTCTTTTCTGATCTCGCGTCATTCCCTATTGTCACTGACCTAGCCGCCCATCTGCGCACGCTAGACACAACCTGGCGCGCTGCCTGTACTGAGGCCCAGGTTCGTGTGTTTCAGCCCCCATCTGCTCTAGCCTCTTCCTGCTTGCCACCCGCCTCCCTGACCGCCTTGCCACCACCCGCGATCACTTCCTTAGTCTCCACCCCCTGACCTCACCCTCACTGACTTTATTGACACCCTTTCTGCCGTAGAGACTTGTCAGCGCTCTACCGCCCAGTCTAGTGGTACCGTGCCGGTCTCTATCTTTCAAGGCTGTGCCCCTGCTCAGTGCGCTTACTCCGACGGTTTTGCTGCGGTTGCTGAGACAGCTCCGGCTGCGGAGACAGCCGCCGCAGTGCAGTTTCGTCCGGGTAAGGGTCACCGTCCCAAGGCTGGGTGCGGCGGAGGTAGAGGAGGAGGGAGTGGTGCCGGTGGTGGAGGTGGCTCGCCTGCTGGTAGTACTGACGAGGGGGCTGGGGCTGGTGCCTCAGAGCAGCAGTCCTAGCAGCAGCAGCAGTAGGCACCGTCGCTGGACCAACAGCAGCCGAAGCCGCAGCACCCCAGCAGCAACCGCCGCAGCAGCAGCAGTAGCAACGACGGGTCGGCCGTCTCCCCCCGGGTGGTCTGGAGCCGGCGGTGATTGTGGTCGCAGTGGTCGTGCCCCCGACGTGCCGTCGGGTGGTGGTCAGGGTGACGGGCGCTTCCAGTACCAGCTCCAGACCGGTCCTCGCCGCGGCCTTGTGTATGGTAAGATCGGCCATCCCCTCACTCGTTGCTTCCGTCGCCTCGACGACCTGTTTCGTCTCCACTTTGGCCCGTCGCCTGACCTCCCCGTCTGGCACAGTCTGCTCCGTCGTGGTGTTAAGATCTTTGGTATGGACATGGATGAGATTAGTTCTGCTTTGTATGTGCTATATGTCGATGACTCTAGTGTGACTGGTTCCTATTACTCTGTATTGCCTAGTGTAGGTGCGCCCAATGTGCCTAGTTCAGGCTCCCCTGCTACGTCAAGCGTAGGATTCCCTGCCTTGTTTAGCCTTGGGTCCTTGCTCGCTTCTCCGACCTCTGTCGCCGCTGCCACGCTCTCCTTCACCCTGGACTGCGGCGCTTCCCGGTGTTTCTTTCGCGACTCCACTACACTTATACCGCTTGCCGCTCCCGCTGCAGCTGCTCTTGCAGACCCTTCCTCCGGTCCGGTAGTTGCCCGTAGCTCTACTATTCTCCCCAGTCCAGCGGTTCCCTTGGCCTCCCTTACACGCCTGCACATCCCTCGTTCTGTAGGAACCTAGTTGGTGTCGGCTGCCTCCAGGACCTTGGAGTCACCACTACGTTCCCTGGGCACGAGCGGTACGCTATCTGTACTGAGGCCGCCACTGGTGGCCCCCTCACCACGTTCCCCCAGGACCCTATGTCTGGCCTGTTCACGCTGGACACCACGTCCCCCCTGGCTGGGACGCCTCCCCTGGTCGCAGCATCTTCCAGGTTGCTGCGGCGTGCTCGTGTCGGTCGCTTACCCACCCGTCGCTTCTGTGGCACCACCATCTAGGTCAACCCGCTCTCACCCGTCTCTGTCATATGTCCCAGCACCGTCTTATCCTAGGTCTCCCTGAGTCGTTCCCCGCGCTCCCCTCCTCACCCGCGCCTCCGCGCACGCCCTGCGTCGAGGGCCGGCTCCGCCGTCCCCCTCACTCCTCCTCATTCCCCCCCACCTCTGCACCGCTGCAGACCCTGCACATGGACGTCTGGGGCCCCGCCCCTGTCCATGGGCCGCGTCGCGAGCGTTACTTCCTTGTGCTTGTCGACGACTACACACGCTACACCGCTGTGTTTCCCTTGGAGCGGAAGGCCGACGTGCCTGACGTTCTTTTCTCGTGGCTTGTCTATGCGCGTATGCAGCGAGGTCTCCCTGTGTTGCGTCTTCACTCCGACCGTGGTGGCGAGTTTGCCTCTGGCTGCCCTGGTCGCTTCTGTCGTGCGGAGGGCATCACCCAGACGTTCACCCTGCCGGCGCAGCAGAATGGGGTCGCTGAGCGATGCATCGGTTTGGTCATGGAGGTGGCTCGTACCTCCATGATCCATGCCGGTGCACCCCATTTTCCGTGGCCCTTCGCTGTCCCCTAGGCCGCCCACCAGCTTAACCTGTGGCCGCACCCTCAGCGGCCGCAGGTTTCACCGACCCTCCTCTGGACCGGGTCTCCTGGTGTTGCGTCTGCGTACCACGTCTGGGGCTGCCTTGCTCACGTTCGTGCCTCTGGCTCGCACTGTCCCTGTGTCTTTCTAGGTTTCCCCTCGACTCGTCTGACTGGCCAATTCTACTACCCACCTTCTCACCGTCTCTTCCAATCTCGCGACGTCACTTTTGACGAGTCCGTCTCCTTCTACCACCGCTTTCCCCACTGTGGTCCCCGGTCACTCCCCCCCTCTTCCTCGGTCGCCCCTGTTCCCCCCCTTCCCGCCCTGCACTGTCTGGTATGTTTGACGTCACCCCCTCCCGTCGGTTGTCCCTGCCGAGGAGTCTGCTGACTCCCGTTGCTCGGCGGAGTCTCTTCCCCCCCGCCTGTCCTCGCCTCGGTCTCCCCTCCCCTGTCCCAGCCGCAGCCGCTCCGCCGCTGGCATCGCAGCCCGCAGCTGCAGCCTGCTGTCGTCACTGCCGCTGGGGTTTGTGCGTTCTGGGGGTGCTGGGGAGCGGGCTGGAGCTGGTTCTGGAGCGGGCTCGGGGGGCAGACGCGCTGGACGCACGGCGTGGACTCGCGAGAGCGGGTTTCCGGGAGGGAAATCGCTTTCGAGGCCAGCCCCCAACACACATCAATCAACGACGTGGACGTGTTTGCAGCCCGAGTATTTTCGAGGACCTGCTTCCACTGCAACCAGCCAGTCACATGGTGAGGGACTGCCCGCAGCTGAAGAAGAACTTACCTAGCGACAAGAAGCAATCGGGAAATGGAGATCGTCAGTAGCAGATGGGCCACCTAGTGACTTGACTGCGTTGCCCAAACGCCAAAACCCCACCAAGTAATAGTGCCGATTTGGGCTATCGACCATTCCTGGCTGAATAAGGGGGGTGAACCGGTTGATCGCCCTGTGCTGGTTGAAGGGAGAGTTGGCGACACCCGCATCAAGATATTCGTCGATGGCGAGGCAAGCCACTGTTTGATGGACGTCACGAAGACGAAAAAAATGCGACTGCAACTGGAGCGCTGCATGCCTGAAATCGACGCGCGATTGGTCGACGGCACACCACTGGCAATCTGGGAGCGAGTACTCACGTGCGAGTAACATGCGGCGAAAATTTCAGCTTCACAACGAAAATCCGGCGACAACTTTGGACGGATGCGACATGCTGCTAGGACGCGATTGGCCTGCGCGAATACAACCCGAGCATCGACTGGAGGACAGGCGACTGTCGTATCAAATGGAGTGGTGAGTGGCGACGACTCCCCAAATGGAGCTGTCAAGATTCGATGACATCGACGGTCAGCACAGTAACGATCAAGCCGAGCTATGATTCGCGGGGCGCAACTGTACGCCGTCCCGATGGATCGCATCAACGACTTTCGACACGCCAGCCGACATCGACAAACTTTGCGCAGCTGTCCCGAACGATTTGGCCAACGTGATTCGCAAGCACGCCGACATTTTTTCCAGACGACCTACCGGCAGGTTGCCACATGAGCGAGACCACGACCACAAAATCGAGTTGGAGCTCGGCGCGCAACCGACTGTTCGGACGCAATGGCGGCTGACTCAACCCGAACTGGATGAAATTCGACGCCTGCTGGACTACCTTGCTCGAGAAAGGTTTCGTTTGCCCAGCACTTCCCCGTTCGCAACTCCGATCCTGTTCACCCCGAAGAAAGATGGCAGTCTACGAATGTGTATTGACTACCGCGCCTTGAATCGGGTTACCATCAAGTCCCGCTATCTATCCCGCATGCCGACGAACTCATCGACCAACTTCGTGAAGCCAAATTCTTTTTGAAAATTGACCTGTGAGGCGGTTACATCAGATCCGCGTGCACGAAGCTGATTGCTACAAGACGACGTTTAGAACCGGTACGGGAGTTTACGAGTACACGGTTATGCATTTGGCTTAACAAACGCGCCTTCGACGTTCCAGTTAACCATGAACGAAGTTTTTCGGCCGCTACTGGATAAATGCGTCATCGTGTACTCGACGATATCCTGATCTACAGCACTACCGGGGAACAGCATTTGAAGGATTTGGAAGCGGTCTTCTCGCTCCTGCAGCAGCACCAACTCATAACCAAAGGCTCTAAGTGCGAGTTTCTAAAACAAGAACTGGAGGTTTTGGGACACGTTATTTCCATCGACGGTGTTAAAATCGACCCGAAGAAGATCGCGACCATACAAGACAGGAAGCCGCCGGTAATCTCCATGAACTTCAAAGTTTCCTGGGGGTTTGTGAATTACGTTCGCCGATTCATCCCAAACATGGCAGGGGTAACTTCCCCACTCACGGATCTCCTGAAGAAAGGCAAGTTTTATGAATGGGGGGGAGAGCAGCAAGCTGCATTCAAACAGCTCAAACTTTTCCTAACTACACATGCGGTTCTTCGAATTGCAGATCCTCACCGTCCGTTCGAGCTCATCACCGACGCTAGCGACCTGGCTGTTGGCGCAATACTGTTACAAGACTTCGGCAAAGGCCTCCAACCATCGCCTAAGAGTCACGAAAGCTGAACCTGGCCGAGTGAAATTATCGTGTCCACGACAAGGAGTTACTCGCCATCGTTCGCGCTTTCAAAGTCTGGCGCTGCTACCTGACGGGCGCTGACGTGACAGTCGAATAGACCATAAATCGCTACAATTCATCCGCGCCCAACCGGATTTGGGTTCCCGCCTACCGTACCCTACGAGAACTACTGATGCAAGAGGCACACGACTCGAATTTCTCGGGTCACTACGGCGTCGACAAAACTGCCAAATTACTGAGCCGTAACTATTACTAGCGCAACTTACCGACAGATGTGCAGCAGTACGTTACCTTCTGCGCCACGTGTCAACGCATGAAGTCTTCACGGCTTCGACATGAGGGACTGCTGCAGCCGCTCGAGCCACCCAGCCGACTCTGGCAACAAGTGACGATGGATTTCGTCACAGGCATACCAGCTGGTTCAAGCGGTAACGACGCAATTCTCGTCGTCGTTGACCGGTTGACCAAGATGGCCCACTTCGCCGCCTGCAAGACGACAATTACTGCCGAGCAGACAGCGAAACTATTCCTCACGAACATCGTGCAGCTACGCAGCATTCCTTCGGCAATCATCAGCGATCGCGACCCACAGTTCACGTCCAACTTCTGGACAAAAACTGGCAGCAGTACTGCACACGTCTGCATCTATCCACGGCGTACCACTCGCAATTGGACGGCCAAACTGAGCGCACCAATGGGAAGACTCCTTCCCTTGATCGAGTTTGCGTACAACAACGCCCATCAGTCACGACTACCCAATCCTCGTTCTTCCTTAATCACGGGATAGACCTGACAACCCCTCTATCGCCACCGATAGAAAATCTGGCACCAAGATCTCAGCAGTTCGTAGAAAATGTCCGACAGTCTCAGCAAAAAGTCGCTGATGCCATCCTCAAAGCCATCAAAGGGCTAAGCAGCAAGCTGACCGACGACGCCGAGACTTAACTCTTGCCCCTGGGCAATTGGTCCTGCTCGACACCTGAAATTTGGGAATTCCCCTCCCAAATAAATTACGACCAAGATTTTGCGGCCCATTCCGCATCATCCGCATGGGGACACCAGTCACCGCCCATCTGCAACTGCTGGTCGACTGGCAAATTCATGATTCATTTCACGTCAGCCTCCTGCGACCATTCATCCCGAGTACGACTAATCTCGACTGTCAATACATCAATCCCAGGGCTCAAATTTGAAGGGTGTTTCACCCTGATTGCCCTTGCCAACGGCCACTTTTTCAGGATTACCCTGATTTTGTAAGGCCAAATTGTTTCTTACCCTTTCTCAAAAAGTGTAAGGATTTTTTTACCCTGCTGTAGGAAGAGTGTTCGTCTTATTACCCTGACCAGTCAGGGTGCGCCGAAAAACACCCTGGAACAGATTCCAAACCCTCGAAATACGCTTACTGTCGAGTCGACTCTGCCACGCGGGCAGGCAGCCCCGCCCACCTACACTGAATCCCGCGTCACTATGCACGAACAAATGCATTTCTCGCTGCTCCCTCCCTTCCCGAGACTCTCTGTTCTGTTCTGTTCTCTCGCGCTCGCCCCCCCCCAACCTTCTCAGTCTCTCTGTTCCCTGCCTTAGTCTTTCCGTGCTCCCTCGGTCTCTCGCTGCTCCCTTAGTCTCTCGTTGCTCCCTTAGTCTCTCGCTGCTCCCTTAGGTCGTACTCCTGGGGACTAGCATCAGAATCAGAAACGGGGTTACTGAATTTGATTCCGATGCGTAGAATTCCATTTTTCATCCATTTCGTTTTAGAGAGCACCATCGCTTCTCGCAAGCTCCCTTATTTCACCATGCGTCGAGCGTACGACGCGCGATTGTACATTTAACAGTTGCGATCTCATCGTCAGCCAACCTTCACTCATGCGAAAGTGCCGATTTTTTCTTACGCCATGCTTAATCAAATTCACTACTGGCGTTCCTGATTCTGATGCTACACTCCAGGAATACGCCCTTAGGCTCTTGCTGCTCCCTTAGTCTCTCGCGGCTCCCTTAGTCTCTTGCTACCCCCCCCCCCCCCGCGCCTCACCACGTCCTTGCCCCCACGCTTCTTCCCCCCTGCACCTCCAGCAGTAGCTCCATCCGGGGAACACTGTAGCTGATGCTGCCCCGCCGGTGTTGCTGTATCTATATAGTGGTCTAATGGTGGCATAAGTAGCTTAAGTAGCAGACGCTGTTGATGTTTTTCTGTAGTGGGTGATCCTGATGTATGCTTGCTGTAAAAAGAAAACTGAAATTGCAGCAACTACTAACCATTCAGTGGACAGGGTGATGGCATAAATACCCTGACTCAAACAGGGTATGGACGATTTTTCACAACAACACCCTGATTTTCAAAGGGTGCTGTAATTTTCACCTAGGTGACAAGGCAAATTTTTGGACTACCCTGATTCCCAAGGGTGCCCTAAACCAATTTTGGGCCCTGATCAATCCTACGGTCAACCCAGTACCTGAGCCGACGGTCGAGCCATCGAAGATTCTCGCTCATCGCGTACGAGGCCATCGAGATACGGCAGCCGTTGATTTCCTTGTACGATGGGTCGATCGCACGACTGACGACGATCTTTGGGTCCCCGCAGCTATGCTCAGCGAACACAAAGTCGTCCGGGACTATTTACACCGACGACGTGCCCCGGATGTGGTAAGTCTCATCCCGGAAGGGGGGGTGGTGTAAGGAAATTCCCATTTCCATACTGGGCTCGACTACAGCGCGTACGCCCTCGACTCTCGGAAGTCCAGGCTCGGCCAACTTCTTCGGTCCCGAACCATTTCGCGAACCCAAACCTCGACGCGCAGCGCTTCCGTGGCTTTCGCCAACCAGATCGCCCCAACCTGTTCGCGTGGTTCTCGGCTAGCTCTGTTCGTGCCTATAAATGCATAGGCCCTCATTTGTATCGACTCCTTTATTACACTACCTGTTACACTGATTAATTCATAACAGGGTTCGTGTTAGCGGAGTAACCTCCTGTGTGAGCGGGGCCCATGTTTAGTCACCGCTCGTATGAATTCCCAATCCGCAATCTCAGGGAGAGCACTTCTTTGGACTCTGGTTTTGGATAAGGGATCAGGGGGATCCGACAGACTGTTCTTCTGGTGGTTCCTAGATTTCGCATCACAGCAGCCGAGGTCTGGTCCTACCAGCAAAAAGGACCCTCTCCTTTTTATCCGCTAGTCTCCGTTTTCTCCGTTTTCTTCTCGTTTTGCCCGTCGTCGTTCAGCTGTGTCTAACGCGTCCTCTCCTTGCGTCCCGTGGTGCCTGGTGATCGACTCGCCGCTTTGCTGCCTAGTTTCCTCTGGTTGCTCAGTTCACACCAGCAGGAGAGATTCGGCGGATAGATAACCAGCCGGGAACGTCCTTCAGGTTTAATCAACTGAAGGTTTTCGCAGGATAGTGAGGCTCTCAGTATGGCGAACGCGGCGGCCTTACCCGCTTGTACTGGCTCAAAATTTATGGATTGCGGTTTCACTACCAAATGCCCTAATGCAGCCACTATTCAACGTCGGTCCGCCGTTCCGCATTTTCCGGTTTGTGCTAATCTGAACAGAAGTTGCAGACCGGCGAACATTTCTGTTCACAGGAGTATCAGCTCCTCCTTTAGAGGACTATCAGGACCTTTGAGACCCTCGATCTCCGGCATTCAATCATTCCTCACCGTCCGATCTCGAGCAAATGCACGAGCTTCGCTCAACGACAGTTCGTCTGGATCTCGGGGGAATGGCAGCGTAGCTAGGGACGTCAGTGCTCCTGCTGTCCGCGAGGGGGAGGGTGAGACTGGAGGAGGGGATGACGGAAGCTCCAAAGGCAAGAATCTGCCAACGACTAGCGATCGGGACCCTGACAGTCAACGGGAGTCCGGCGAAGAAGCTAACAAGCCCAGCTGGTTACCAGATTGGATCGATCTGACGTCAGACGACGCCAAGACGGTTCTGATCGCATTCGGAATTTCGCTGGTCTTTCGGTGGTTCGTCGCGGAGCCACGGTTCATCCCGTCTCTGTCAATGTTTCCGACATTCGACATTGGCGACAGAATCATCGCAGAAAAGGTGAGATGGCCGTTATAAACAGAGCGAAATACTTTGACGAACTGTGGTTTATCGCCGAGCCACGGTTCATCCCGTCGCTGTCCATGTTTCTGACATTCCACATTGGCGACAGAATCATCGCTGAGAAGGTGAGCCATCTATCGTCTTGATCTTGGTCATAGTCGAACCTGCATTTGGAAGCAGAATCTTAGCGGAGAAAGGAGAAACAGAACGAGAGGGTATCCTAACCTCTGATCTAATAACTGTTGGTTCGTAACTCCGTAAACCGATAGTGAACGGTCTCTTACGACTGCTTAAGCTCACAAGGGTTCGTAAATTCTCCTACTTATTCATTCACGGTCCTACGCAGGTCTCGTACTATTTCCGGGAACCAGAAGTTGACGACATTGTCATTTTCAAGGCACCCGAGGTTCTTCAGGTATATATATTGAGTTATTCCGGAGCATTTCTGGACCGTGGTAGGTGTTGTTTAAGGTTAACCATGCGAGCTTGTTACATGCAGGAACGAGGTTACAGTGCGGGCGAAGTTTTTATCAAGAGAATTATAGCTACAGCTGGAGACGTAGTGGAGGTCAGTCCCTTCCCCCTCTCTGGGATCACTTTTAAGCCCAATTCATTTTTCTTCCCCTCTGGTTGTCCTTTGGCTGCTAGTCAAGTACTGGGTTGGTTGTCCTCTCTGGCTTCTTTTCCCGAAGTGTGCCTGATGTCTCTTAATGACTCATGCAGGTCAAAGCTGGGAAGACTTATGTGAATGGTGTGGAGAGGAAAGATGATTTCACTTTTGAGCCACCTGCTTATGATATGAAACCTCAGGTATTTCATTTTCTTTTGCTTCCACCAGCATCTTGTTTTTGCCTACCCTTGTACCCCACTCAGGAGTCACATCCTGTTCTTTCCCTGCTCAGTACGTCCCACCAGAATCGTGCCTTTGCGTTACCCCACACCAGTTCATGAACCTATTAATCATTTGCTCAGTACTTCCCACCAGAAGTTTTCTTTTGCGTTACACGCCGCACTCGCTCATGAACCTGTTTTTTCCCTTACTCAGTACGTCCCTCCAGGATACGTCTTTGTCATGGGAGACAACCGCAACAACAGCTATGACTCACACATCTGGTATGCACACGCCATAACTTCCATTCTACCACCACACTACCCACTCCGATTCTCTGACTCTCTCCATGCTCACATTTCATCGCCAGAGTACCCTTCTGGTCTTTCCTAGTCAAATTTCACCCCAAGAGGTTGGCTGATCTCCTGTCTTTTTGTGTGCAGGGGCCCGCTACCAGCCAAGAATGTACTGGGTCGATCAGTCTACAGATATTGGCCTCCCAACAGATTGGGATCTACAGTTTTGGAAGAGTCCACAGGTTCAAGTGCAGGGGAATCCGCTCCCCAATTGAAGGCTTCATAAGGTTAAAGAATGCAGCTTTCTCTGACCCTTTGTTTTGATTCTGGAGGGATTCGGAAAGATTTCTGTGGCGTTTTAGTGTACTGTGGAAAGAATTGTCAAAAGACTAGCTTAGCTAGGAAGCCATAGAATGGCACAAGGTTTAGCTAGGAGCTAGGAGGAGCCATGAGAATGGCGAGAGGTTTTAGGTGCTAGGAAAGTTGAGGAGAGAAAAGAGAGTTGGATTAGAAGAGAGGGGAGTACAAGGAGGGGTTTGTACCCCCTACAGAAAGGTTCAGTAACAACCTACTAAGCCTATATTAAATTATAACTTATATAATTTGAACACACCCCCTAGGCTTGGTAGTCACATGCCCACACACACCCACACCCCCTAACCTAGCACCCCCATTCCAGCCACAGTGACAGCGACTCTAGGTCGGTCGACCCACGGTGCGTGAGGCGGCGACGTCGACCGCAGGGGCTGCGGCGGCGACGGCAGCAGCGGCGGCAGTGTCGACAGCGGCGGCGGCGGCGGCGTGCGGCTGCGTGGCCCCGACGCAAGCGGCGACAGCGGCGGCGGCGGCGGCTTCGACAACAGCGGCAGCGGCAGCGGCACCCGCACCTCTCGGTGACGTGGCCAGGCCCCGCGACGGTGGGACGGCCGGCGGGAGTCAGCCGTCGTCTGCGGAATGGAAGAGGGCACAGGGGAAGGAGGGGGATGGGGGGGGGGGGGGCGCCACAGGCTGACATGCGGGCGGCCGGTCTAGCGGCGCCACAAGCGTCACGCGGCCGGCTGCAGCCCGACGACGCCGTCATGGAGCGGCGTCGATGCCGCAGCGGGGCGTCGACGTTGCGACGGCAGCACGACGTCGCCGTTACGCCGACCGCGCGCTGTCGCGTAGACGCCGCGGCAGCGTGACGGCGCCGTCACGTCGCGACAGCATCTTGACACGACGGCGGAGCTGCGGCACGACGGCGCGGCCCACAGCAGCTGGACGCGGGCGCCATGGACGTCGACGGCGGCGCCGCGGCACGACGACGCGGCCACAGCAGCTTGACGCGGCCGCCATGGCAGCGCGAGATAGAGAGAGAAACGAGCACGCAGCGGAAACGCGAGGAGCAGGCCCACACGGAACGAACTGCTCTAATACCATGTCAAAAGACTAGCTTAGCTAGGAAGCCATAGAATGGCACAAGGATTAGCTAGGAGCTAGGAGGAGCCATGAGAATGGCGAGAGGTTTTAGGTGCTAGGAAAGTTGAGGAGAGAAAAGAGAGTTGGATTAGAAGAGAGGGGAGTACAAGGAGGGGTTTGTACCCCCTACAGAAAGGTTCAGTAACAACCTACTAAGCCTATATTAAATTATAACTTATATAATTTGAACAAGAATGTGTGTTTTGTTGACATGCAGACTGACTGATGCTGCTCCTTATGCTGCCAAAAGACCACATTGCGTCCTTCCACCCTTGTGGATGCACCAGATGGTATTGACTGCTTCAGGAATTGGAAGATCTCCTACAGCTCCCGTCAGATTCGACCTTGCATCAGACTCTCAACTCAAGTGACGAACGGAGACGCACCGCATGGAATTGCGAGATCTAGCCTGTGCACTGTGCAGGACCGTATGAGTCTGACGCGAGGCGGTCGGGCTCGAGGTCAAATGACAGCACCCTCGGACTTTTCAAAACTGATCGTGTGCACTGGAGAATTACATCAGGGCACAACACAGCCACCTATCGTGTGTTGTGTCCGTCGGCTCAAACAGTTTTGCTGGTGCTACAAGGATGTTGATTGTGAAAGCTTGCTTAGGTCCTCTTGTAAAGGCAGCGTGCTTCATTTCATCTGGGAAACATACATGGTTCTCGTCCAACACATAACTACGCACAAGAGGGTGGGTGGGCGGGGAAATTGAACTAGAGAAACTAGAAATGAAGAACGTGGGTGAGGCCGAATGGCCTCACGTCCCTCTTTTGTAGGCAAAAGAGGGTGAGTAGCGCTTCGTCGCTGCCTTTGCTGCGTTGGCCCTCGCTACACTCTCACAATACACATTTTTAGAAAGTGTTAAACTTTCAAAAAATTACATTTCACAAGCAAGCAAGCAATGTGACCAAACAAACCCAAGTATGGAACCAAACCATGTGGTAACAATTACAGCAGCCCGCTGTACTGTCATACTATGCCTTCTCCTGTATCCTCTTGTTAGCAAACTCCACAAACCGCTCGAGGTCTGCTTGAATGATGCTCTCGACCAATGGGGATAGGCTCTGTGGGAAGGGTGACGTGGCATGGGTGGGGAAGACAAAGGTGAGACGCGGAACGCAGTGACGACAGGAGGGGAAGACAAGACAGTCTACGAACGACAGAAAAAAGTGGGGAAAGGAAGCGGAGGAGGAGCAGAAAAAAGTGTTATCGAGAACACAGGAAATAATCGGCGACAGGGTTTGGAGAATCGTACATTTGCCACGGGAACGAGAATTCCCGGCACCTCATAGGAGATAGTCATCTGCAGGAATGCGAGGAGAGGTGTAGATTGTGAGGTGTAGATTGTGAGAGGTGTAGATTGTGAGCAGTATTGTGGAATCAGGAGAAAAGCAAAATTGAGCATACAATGCAAGACAGTTGTGATGTCACTGATGTGGTCTCGAGTAGCCCATTCAAAGAATCTTCCACTCACTCATTCAAACCACATTCCTCCAGCCTGCAGCAATCCTGGCCTCTCGGCAAGAAGTGCATGTCAGTCATCCCGTATCTAAACCTCTGTGCAAGCACTCGTGAAGATCACCCCATCAGAGGTGAAAACACTCGCAAAGATCCACATTACCTCCAGCTTGCAGCCGTTGGGCCCCTTGGGGAAGAAGCGGACAGCACCGCTGTTGGGAAGCCCGTCCAGCGATCGCCAGTGGATCTTCTGGTGGTGAATGGGCTGATGGGAGGGGGGGGGGGGAGGGAGGGGGGGCAGAAAAGAAGGATAGAATGAGAGGAGGGGAGGAGAAGCGACGGTTGGGTGGACCGCTGTTGGGAAGCCGGTCTACGGATTGCCAGGGGATGTTCTGACGGTGAATGGGCTGGTGGGGGGGGGGGGGGGGGGAGGGATACAATACAATATGAGAAGGCCGAAGTCTTTCACGGCTCACCCACTGTATGCACCACTATTGAAAAGTGAGAATTCAAGGTTCTTCCCGAAGGCCGTGTGGGCTCACCCATCCCACCCCAATCCACCCCACCCCACTCCATCCCACCCCACTCCATCCCACCCCACTCCATCCCACCCCACTCCACCCCATCCCACCCACCCACTAACCTGCAGGTTCCTGGCAAGCCACGAGAATTCAAGGTTCTGCCCGAAGGCCTTGTAGCGCAGCGTCCACGTGGACAGCTCTGGCTTGTCCTCGACGACCTGAGGAGGAGATGGAGAGGAGGGAAACAGGTAAGGGTGTAAAAGCACATGGAGGGAGGAGAATGACAGTGGCGAGGCGAGTAGGCAGAGTAGCGCCGCGTCCACGTGGAGAGCTCCGGTTTGTCCTCCCGAACGTGAAGAGGGGGGGAACGTCACAGGAGAGCGGTCGGAGAGAGAGAGAGGGGCGAGGGTTGTGTGGCGCAGCATCCACGTGCACAGCTCTGGCTTGTTGTCACGAACGTGAAGAGGGAGAGAACGTCATGGGAGAGAGGATTAAGAGAGGTCGAAGAGAGGTCAAAGAGAGGTCAAAGAGAGGTCAAAGAGAGGTCAAAGAGAGGTCAAAGAGAGGTGAGGTCAAAGAGAGGTCAAAGAGAGGTCAAAGAGAGGTCAAAGAGAGGTCAAAGAGAGGTCAAAGAGAGGTCAAAGAGAGGTCAAAGAGAGGTCAAAGAGAGGTCAAAAAGAGGTCAAGGAGAGGTCAAAGACAGGTCAAAGAGAGGTCAAAGAGAGGTCAAAGAGGGAGGGTGAGGGTGAGGGCAGCGTGGCGCAGCGTCCGCGTGGAGAGCGTCCTCGCGAACCTGAAGAGGGCGGGGAACGTCACGGGGGCGTGGAGGCGTGGGGGAGGGGAATACAATGGGTGGCGCACGAACAGAGAGATGGACGGCCGTGTGGCGCAGCGCTCATGTGGACATCTCTGGCTTGCTGTCGCGGACCTGAGGGGAGGCGGAGGGAGGGAAAGAATGAAGGGACCCAAAAGCACATAGAGGGAGGAGAAAAGAGGTGACTTCTGAGTCGACTCAAAAGTCACCACATAGAGGGAGGAGAAAGACGGAAGCGAGTAGGCAGTGCAGCGTCCGTGTGGACAGCTCTGGCTTGTCGTCGCGGACCTACAGGCAGGTTGGGGCGTTGGGTTGGGGGAAGGCAGGAGAAAGACGACAGTGTGATGCCGGTGACGCGAGCAGACAGCAAAGCACTCACTCCATAACGGGGACAAACAGACAATCGACCCACCTTTACTGACGCGGTCCAGCGCATCCACAGATCGAAGGGCGGAGGCAGAGGGGGGGGGGAAATAGCAAGCTGGAAAGAGAGAGGACTCAAGCTTCTAGTGGGGATGATACTAAAGAGGACTGACTCACCTTAATGAAGCGATTCAGGGCATCCTGGAGGGGATGAGCTCGCAGTCCAGCCACAGGTCGAAGGGCGGAGGAAGGGAGGGCGGCTGGGAAGAGGATTTTTCTCTGTATAACGGGTACAGAGATTCACCTCTATAACGGGGATAAAAGACTCTCACCTTCACGGACGCGATCCAGGGCATCCAGGAGGGGATGAGCTCACGGTCCAGCCACAGGTCGAACGCCAGAGGAAGGGGGACAGATGGCGCTTCCACCACCGCCCTGCCACGTCAGCACATTGATGACGTGGAAGGAAAAGGTGGCATGAATGCATGGCGCACAGGAAATTGACTACGTGGCAAGACGGTAAACGACGATTGCACAAGTGTTTTTGCAGCAGCAGCGGGTAGCTCTCTAAAGATTTCGCTAAAGAATGACACACGCACTCACGTGTACAGCACACGCACTCACGTGTACAGCACACGCACTCACGTGTACAGCACATGCACTCACGTGTACAGCACACGCACTCACTTGTTCTCAAGCCACGTCGCCGAAAACAGCAGACCGCGACGCTGCGAAGGTCTCCCGACACGTGGCACGACGCCGTTGGCTACTGATCCTGCATCGGCAATTCTGAGACGATCTCCTGAAAACCCGGAGCCGAGGGACAAATTTTGGCGGAAACCGGAGGGACGAGCCGCGAATGTGCTTGCGCGGCATAGAGAGGAGCTGACACGTGGCACGAGATCATTGATGGCGGATATGGATGGCCATGAGACGGTAGCAGCTGAGGTGGTGGCTGACTTAGCAATCAAGGCGCTAGCAAAGGCCATGCTGACGAGTCGCCGCAGAAAGCAGTGCCGAGGAAGCGTCCTAAAAGCGTTGCTACTGAAGCTGACAGGCGCAACTACGCTGAAAAAAACCGCGTCCCGAGACACAATCCCGCTGAAGTCCCGAGGTTCTCCTGAGGTCCCGAGGTTGTCGATCACCTCAGTGTCAATTGATCGTCTCGAGGTGATCTATTCACTTGCAGATGCTGCAGGAGTTGGTTATGGGAGTGGAATGACAATCAGCTAGCGCTACGCGGACGAGGCGTGAACAGCTGGTGGCTGCCTGCCGAGAAAAAATTTCGAAACCGCGGTTTGCGGTGAACCGCACCGTCCGAACCGAAAGGTGCGGTGCAACTCTTGGCAGGCCGGCAAACCTCGGGAGGTGCGTGGCGAAACTGCGTTGGAGGTACCAGACTAGGAATAAAGCGGTGGCGTCCACTAAAGAAAATAGGAGACTCTCTAGACTAGTCAGTGTCAGCCAGGGCTGTCGCCTGGCCTCATGGTCCAAACATCTCAGCGAACGAGCCAGCCTCGAACTTCCACAGAGGGATGGAACTTCTGGTTGAAAACGGTTCAGTATGTATTTGTGTGTTGTAGTCAGACTTTTGCGTGGTACAGTGTGGTGAGGGGTCGAACGGTGCTGGTGTCAACGGGTGCCTGGAGATAGCCGTGCAAATCTGGAAATGGATTCTGGCGAACAAATCTGCCTATAGAAGGGTCAACACCCAGCGCTAGGAGGCAGCACGAATTACCGCCAGCCACGTGTTGCAATACAGGGCTCGCCACGACTCTGAGCTTCATTTGGGTGTCACCCGTCACAAAGACGCGATGAATCTGGTTAGGTAGTGTACTTCCAACCAGCACAAAGTAAACGGGAATTTTCAACAAAACAGACAAAATCTCATTGATGAAAATTAGGTGGGAGGGGAGGTGTTCTTTTCCCAACCCCTCCCCCCTGACCGTCATTAGCTTGACCTGGGCCCGATCCAGCACCAAAAGCACCCCCACTCAGCCCACTAGCGCCCATCCCAGGCCCAGAATGACCCCCAGGACCTCCCATTTGGCCAAAATTAGGGTTATTCCCCAGATTACCGGGTGGTTGAAATTGATTCGGCGGTTGGATGGGGGCTTGGGGCTGGTTCCCGTGCTGCTGGCGGTTCGGGGGAGACTTGGGCCGCAGAGCCTCGATCTCAGGGGTGGTAACCAGCAGGTGCGGCGCTCCAGGCGGGGGGTTGCCTCGGCCCGTGCCTTGCCAAACCTTGCCGTCAGGTCCGGCAAAGAGCTTACAGTAGGACTGGTGGGGACACGTGTCAAGTAGGAAGCGAAGGAGCATGTCATGGCTAGTGAAATGGCAGGAGGAGGGTTAGTGAGCGAGACTATAAAGGGGAAAGCGCAAATTAGGACCACTTGTTAGGAAAAGAGGTCTGAGCAGTTTGAGCAAGTCAGAAGTTCAAAACCAGCCGGGTTGAAACGTCTGTGAGTGCCCTCACCTGAGGGTTGAAGTTTAAGCAGTTAGCGCAAGTCTGAGAAAAGAAGTTCAAAACCCGCCTAAATTCTGAGAGTGCCCTCACCTGAGGGTTGAAGTTTGAGGAGGTGAGAGATTTCCCCACGGTCAGCCAGCCTGCCCGGATATTGTGGTCAGCGCCAAACAATTCGATTCGTCGCCGCCCGAGAGCGAAGTGCTCGATGAGGGAGTAGAGCTCCTCAGGTTTCTCCGTGCTTCCTGCAGAGGATGAAGAGAGGATGAGAAGGAGTTCTGGGAAGGGATTCAGTGCGGTTGAGAGGGATTAGGAGCAAAGTGCTCGATGAGGGAGTATAGTTCCTTGGGCTTCTCCATGCTCCCTGCAGAGGGGAGGAGAGCGGTGAGCAGGGGGTTGAGAGTGATAGAGAGCGGTTGAGAGAGCAAAGTGCTCAATGAGGGAGTAAAGCTCCTCGGGCTTCTCTCAGGCAGACTAAACAGTGGTTGAGAGCGGTGAAGAGGGAATTGAGGGGCTAATTGCAGCTGACAGGGATATATACCGGGGGGGGGGCTGGATGAGGTTTGAGAGGAGGGGGTGAGATTTCTGGAAGTTTGGTAAGAAAGGGTGAAAGGACAACGCACAATCACAATCATTTATCGAATGGTGAAGAGGAGACTTTTGAGGCGCCTCAAAAGCAATCATTTATCGAATGGTGAAGAGGAGACGGGGCGGGGACCCGATAAAGCGTGGTTGCTCAAACGGTTGATGTGACCGTATGGGGGCAAGCAACCACCAACAACAATAAGTTTTGAGACGTCTCAAAACTCAAACGATTGATGTGACCATACAGGAGCAACCACACGGTGACTCTTGAGTCGACTCAAGAGTCACCTCGGTTGATGCGACTGTGAAGGAGCAAGCAACCACCCAACAACCACAATCAATTATCAAAAGAAGTAGTTTCGTTTTGAGACGTCTCAAAACTCAAACGGTTGATGCAACCGTACAGGAGCAACTACCCACCAACCACAATCAATTATCAAATGGTGGATCCTCCCAAGAAAGGCAAATTAAATGAATCACTTACCAAATGGCTGTTCCTACAACAAAACAGTTTTGATCACGCACCGAAGGGTGGCTGCTCCAACATAAGCACATCCCTGTCAATGTTAGCATGAATGAAGAGCAGGGCTACAATGTGATCCGTTATAGTCACTTACCAAAAGGTGGCTGTTCCGATATAAGCACATCCGTGTCAATGTTAGCGTGAATCACGTGGCCGTCTGTGCTCCGCCTCACCGTGCCCCTGATGCCCATCAGGCAGTGCTCCTGGGGGAGGGATAGGTGGGGAGGGAGGGGGGGAGAAAGGTGGGGAGAGACGGGGGGAGAGAGGGGCGAGGACATGTGCAATGCAGGGGAAGCATCATCCGCTCCTCCGCACTGTGCCCGGATGCCCATCCCATCAGGCAGTGCTCCAGGGGTGTGGGCGAGCAAGAAGACACGTAGGGAGCGAGCAAGAAGACAAATAGCGGGTTTCTATGCATTGGCTCCAATGTGGCATGACCGTCTGTCTTCTTGCTAGCTCCGGATGTGGTGAGGGTGGGCAGACTTTCTTCCTCCCCATGACCCCTGAGGCCCATCAGGCAGTGCTCCCGGGGGGAGTGGGAGAGAGAGTGGACAGTGGGGCCAGCAGGGGCGGCAGGGACGGTTGGAGTACGAGGGTTGCTGGGAGCACGACCCTTCCTGCCGCCCCTGCTGGCCCTTGCTGGGAGCGGCAGGGACAGTTGGAGTACGAGGGTCGCTGGGAGCAAGACTCTTCCTCCTCACCACTCCCCTGATGCCCAGCAGGCAAGTTGAGGTGAGAGGGAAGGGAAGAGGGGGGCCAGCAGGGGCGAGGTGACTTTTGAGTCGACTCAAAAGTCACCTTGATGCCCAGCAGGCAAGTTGAGGTGAGAGGGAAGGGAAGGGGGGGGGCAGCAGGGGCGGCAGCGACAGTTGGAGCATGAGGGTGGCTGGGAGCTAGACAGGGGTCAGCTAGAGCTAGACTCTTCCTCCTCACTGCCATGGCCCTGATGCCCACCAGGCAGAAATCTCACAGCACATGTTTTGAGGCGCCTCAAAACTAAACTCACAGCACATCACGCCAGTTCCATGTCACTCCCCACACCGAACCACACTGCACCGCACCGCACTGCACCTTGGAGTGCTGGAACAGGGTCTCTGACGTGTGCCCCCAGGGGCTATCTGGCTTCTCCCGGTTGGTCTTCACCCAGCAGATGTCCTCGCAACGGCGAAAGCCCCACTAGTGGGTATGGCATGGCATGGCATGATGGGGGGTACAGGGGAGGGCAAGAGAGGTACAGGGGAGGGCAAGAGAGGTACAGGGGAGGGCATGTGCAGATACAAGGTCGCATTTGGGAATGAGGAGAGAGAGCCTGCCTGACCAGGTATCCCGCTTCTCCCAGTTAGTCTTCACCCAGCAGATGTCCTCACAGCGGTGGAAGCCCCACTGGCGGGCATCGCATGAGGGGGAGGAAGGGGAGCGCAGGGATAGAGTCCCGGCCACATGAGGGAACAATCAAAGCGCCTGCTCTCCCAGGCGCTTTCTCTCTGTTGGTCTTCACCCCGCAACGGAAGCCCCACTCCGCATGGAAAGCGGGAGATAGGAGTAGACCAACCGATTGGCATGTGTATCTCCCGCTTGGAAAGCGGGAGAGCGGGAAGCGGGAAAGCTGGAAGTAGACAAGCCGATTTCACCCAGCCAATGCCCTCGTCACAGCATCAAAAGGATCACTGGAGGGCTATGAATATTACGATACACACATACACACATACACATAGACACATATACACGTACACACACATACTATACAAGTCAAACCTTCTTGAGGCACATGTGGCCATACTCCAGCCCCTCCGCGCCGCCCACCCACCCAAGCACGTGAGAGAAGAGGAGGAGGGGAGCAAGGGAGCACGGGAGCAAGGGAGAGAGGAGCGATGCATACAAACCTTCTTGAGGCACATGCGGCCATACTCCAGCCCCTCCGCATCCCCCACCCACAGGAAGACAAAGGAGGGCGTGTCGGCTATGGCCTGGGGGAAGGGCGAGGAGAGGAACGAAGGGGGGAGGGGTTAGGAATGTGGACGTAATCGCCCGCAGCACATACTCCTCCGTAATCTCCCCAACTTGCTCCTCCTTCCTTACTATCCTTCTGCTTGCCCCACGTACTCCTCTCTTCCCCGCTTATCGTCGTGTGCGTTTTCCTGAAGGTAAAGCCCTCCAACCCACCCACCTCGGTTCTCAGAACCCATACTCACCCAATCTGTCGTGATATCCACTCAATGTCATCCCACTCACCACTCAATGTCATCCCACTCACCACTCAATGTCATCCCACTCACCACTCAATGTCATCCCACTCACCACTCAATCTCATCCCCCCCATGCCTGGTGCCCGCCTCGCATACTCGTCCCACGCTGCTCCTCCCAAACCACCCTCACATGCCCTTTTCCAAAATTACGCCCCAATCCCCTGCCCTCACATGCTGATAGCTACACCTTCCCTGGATCTTACCTGGATCCTCAGAGCCATTATTCCCTGTTTTGTCCACCACTCGATCTCATCGCCCATCCCCGGCGCTCGCACATACCCTCCCCCCCGAAGCTACCCCCCTGCTGCTCGCCGCACGGACCCTCGCTTTCTAGCCGTAAGCCATGCTGAGAAAACGGACTCTAACCCACCTCGATTCTCAGAGACACGATCTCCTGGGGCGTCCACCACTCGATCCCATTGCGCATCCAATGTCTGTGCATTGAACTGGTACGTGCATCTCAACCCAACCCAACCCAACCCAACCCAACCCAACCCAACCCAACCCAACCCACCTCGATCCTCAGAGCCATGATCTCCTGGGGCGTCCACCACTCGATCCCATCGCCCATGCCTGGTGCCCGCCGCACATACTCCTCCCACCAAACCACCCTCCCATGCACCCCCTTCCCCCCCCCCCCCTTGCACCCCCTTCCCCCCCCCCCCCCTTGCACCCCCTTCCCCCCCCCCACCCTTGCACCCCCTTCCCCCCCCCCCCCCTTGCACCCCCTTCCCCCCCCCCCTTGCACCCCCTCATGATGTTAACAATACCCCCCCTCTCCCCCTCCCTACGTACCTCGATCCTCAGGGCCATGATTTCTTGCGGCGTCCGCCACTCGATCTCATCGCCTATGCCTGGTGTCTGCCTCATGTGCACCTCCCCCCCATCTCCCCCCCATCTCCCCCCATCTCCCCCCCATCTCCCCCCATCTCCCCCCATCTCCCCCCCATCTCCCCCCATCTCCCCCCCATCTCCCCGCATCTCCCAAGCTAGTCCCCCCGCTCTGACAGCAATACATACCTCGATTCTCAGAGCCATGATTTCCTGGGGCGTCCACCATTCGATCTCATCGCCCATCCCTGGCGCCCGCCGCACATACTCCTCCCATGGTGGGTCAATTAAGATAACGTCGAACTTGGTGCCGAATATGTCGGGGGTTAGTTCAACCTAGAATGTGCGTGGTGGGGGGATGGGGAAGGGCGAGGAAAAGCAATGTAGGAAGGAGAAGCAGTAGCGTGGTATGGAACAGCTACAAGGTCACTTGACACAGAACTGTTACAATCAACCCGTTACATCAGACATCATGGTTACACAGTAACCTGTTTCAGCTTCTTCTGAAGGTTAACTGTTATTTCGTAACAAAAATCACATGTTGCATTGTAACACAATCACCTGTTTAAGGTCCATCTGAAGGTACACAGGTGGTGTAGTCGCATCCGCAACGATCCTATCCTTCCTCGTTATAAGCTCCTTCAGCTTCGGGTACTCCTCAAACCTATCAGAGACGTCCATATCGCGTATGAAGTTCTGGGGCCTGAATCCCGTGTCTACAAAGTGTTGGGAGTAGTCGTTCTGTGCGCCCCTTGACTTGCCCCGCGTTGCCACATACCCCATGCGCCCCCCCGGGGTCACCATGCCCCCCCTTCCCCCCATGCCTCCGCCCAGTCTTCCGCCCATTCCTCCCCCCATGGCTCCGCCCATGCCTCCCCCCATGCCCATTCCTCCCCCCATTCCTCCGCCCATGGGCGGGCCCCCAGCACCTCCGGCGCCCATTTGACGGGCATCCCCTCCCCCTCCGCTTCCGCCTCCCCCTCCTGCTCCCCCTCCTCCTGGCCCTGCCCCCGCCCCCCCTCCGCCCATGGGCATTCCCGCAGGCGGACCCATGCGCATCCCACGCCCCCCCATTCCGCCTGCACCTCCCCCCATCTGCATTCCTGGGCCTCCGCCCATCCCCCCTCCGCCCATTCCGCCTCCGCCCATGGGCATGCTGTCTCCGCCCATAGGGGGTCGCCCCGCGCCCATAGGCGGACCTCCCCCTCCGCCCATAGGCATGCCTCGTCCGCCTCCCCCGGCCACCATATCCATGCTTCCGCCCATGCCTCCCCCCATGCCTCCCCCCATGCCTCCCCCCATGCCTCCACCCATGCTCCCCATTCCCATGCTCCCCATTCCGCCCATCCCCCCCATGCCTCCCATTCCGCCTGCGCCCCCCATATTCCCCATCCCCATGCCCATATGCCCCATGCCCATTCCCATCCCCATCCCCATGCTTCCGCCCATGCTCCCTCCGCCCATGCCTCCTCCGCCAATGCTTCCGCCCATGCCCCCCATACCAGCCCCCATGGGTCCCCCCATATGCCCCATGCCCATCCCCCCCATCCCCATCGGCCCCATATCTCCGCTCATTCCGCGCCCCATACCGCCTCTCCCCCCATGCGCGCCTCCCCCTCCCTCCCCCGCTCCCCTTCCGCCAAAACCCACGTCCTCGTAACCCCCGTCCCTCCGACCTCCGCTCCATCCGTCCCTTCCAGGCTCGCCCCAAACCCTCCCAAACCCCCTCTCCTCCCTCTCTCTCCTTCGCTCCTCCTCTTCCCCCCCTTCCCCCTGGCCGCTCCCCCAAGCGCGATCTTTCCCCTCTTTCCCCCCTCCCGCTGCCCCTCCCGCCCCGCCTCTGTCTGACCCCCCTGGCTCCGCTCCCCCCTCCTCCCCTCTTCCCCGCTTCGCGGAGAAGCTTCCGCCGTTCCCCATCATCGGTTGCGCGCCACGCACGTTAGGGTTGGATCCGCTGACGTCATCCATAGGCTGCTGCTCGCCACCCCATTGGCCGCCGCCTGAGCCGTTCCTGCCTCTGTCCTCCATATGGTAAGCCCCGCTTGTAGGCGACTCCTGGGGTGGCGGAACCACTCCAACAACGCTAAAATCTAAAACGGCGAGAATTGCGCAATGAACACAACGACTAACACCTACTAACAACGACAAATTTACATAATATTGAAATGTTCGCGTTCCTGTAACGACGGAATAGTAACGAAGAGCTGACGAACGCGATAGCTGAAACGGATAACCGTTAGAAGCGACCGTCGCCTAAAGAAGAAACGTCTAGACACTAAAGATCAGCAATGATTAGATAGCATATCAAGGCGTGTATCCTAGGGTTGCGCATCTGTGAGTTGCGCTGCCAGCTGCGCAACCCACAAACCGTGACCCCGCAACGCAACTGGAACATGGGATTGTGCAACCCAGCGGGAAACCCGAACACACCTGGAACATTGGGTTGCGGTTGTTTCAAATCTCACAAATTGAAAAATCACGAGAATAGGAAACTGAGGAACATTTCGCCCAGTTCGCAACGGCGAAAAGGATTGGATTTTCGAAAGGAATGTGTGTTCGTCAGACCTAGAATTGGATTTCGACCAAGTGGTAGCTTCTTTGGTTCACGTGGATGTGGGTTTCGGATTGGGTTGCGGAAGTGGGTTTCGAAACCGGGCTGGACGTGGGTTGCGCAACCCGTGTCCATATTCGCAAAAAAGCCTTGACGATATCTTCGAAAACTGTAACCTTGCCGGGGCGCGCAACCCGAAGCGAATCCGCAACCATAGGCTCCACGCCCTCAGTCCACTCCACACCTAGGAGTTTCTAGGTTTGTGCGGGGAGAAGAACTATACGCCTTAGAAACTATCATCGCAAAACTCTTTGTGTGCTGCAGTACACCCAGCAGCAAACCTGATGATGCACGGCTACACTCGACATACCTTAGCATTTATTCAACTAATCTACACTAGCTTTGCTTCATCATACGTGTATCATTACGAGCACATATCAGCAGGTTTCCAAAATAACCGTGCACATGCAGGGGAGATTGGAGGGGATACGTTGCCTTTTGTAGAGAAAGTTGACCAACAAAAGAGGGAGTCAAGTAGAGTACTCATATTTACAATTGCCCATGGCAAGGTTAGACAGGTTCGGAATGTACATGAATCCAATATGGATTTACATGTAGCTGCCCTTTTCGCCGGGCTAGAGAGCCAGGGCAGGGCTAGAGACTAGAGTCAAAGGGAGAGGCTTGGGGTTAGAACCTAGAGGGCTCTGGGGAGGCAAATGGAGCCCATTTGGTGGAGAGCGAGGGAGGCGAAGCGAGTGGAAACCACAGCATGCAGCACAGCAGCAGAGAAGAGGCACGCTAGGATGAGCGCTGAGGTGGGCAGTGGGCAGGGCAGGGTTAGATTCAAGGAGAGAGGCTTGGGGTTAGAGGGCTCTGGGGAGGCGAATGGAGCCCATTTGGTGGAGAGCAAGGGAGACGAAGAGAGTGGAAGCCACAGCATGCAGCACAACAGCAGAGAAGAGGCATGCTAGAATGAGCGCTGAGGTGGGCAGGGCTAGAATCAGAAGCACGGCTGACTGAACATCGGTTGATCGTAAACCCTGAGTTAAAACTGGGGAGGCTTGGATTGATGAGAAGAGCTTGGGTGGGAAGAGGTCAGATGGAAATTGGCGGGGTGCCAGGAAGCGAAGGATTGGGGAAAGTGGTAGATGGGGAAAATGCAGTAGAGGCGCCGATGGTGGTGGTGGTGTAGCTGATTGGTTAGAAAAAATCGGGGGTGCGGTTGCAGCTGCTGATAGTGTTGGTGTTGATGTAAATGAAGAGATAAGCATTGCGGTAGATGGTGTAGATGCTGCAATAAATGGTGACATGGGTGTAGACAGTGTAGACTGTGCGGTCGAAGGTGATCCAGAGAGCAGGAGATTCTGCACCATGGCAGACTGAAGAATCCCTGTGAGGATGAAGCAGGCAGAAGCGAGGCAGGAGAGCACCCCCATGAGGCCGAAGTTGAGCGCGAGGTAGGCGTGGGCGTAGCGGCGGAGGAGGCGGAGTGCGATGGAGAGAGATGAGAGCAGGCCAGATGGGGTCTGTACGGATACTGACAGGAGGACTCTGCGGGGAGGGGGGGGGGTGGCCGGGGGGGAGGGAGAGATGGATTTACACGGTGAGAAGGAGGCATGCGAAGCCCAAGGGAATGGCAGTGACAACACCAAGCATGGCAGTGACAACACCAAGCATGGCAGTGACAACACCAAGCATGGCAGTGACAACACCAAGCATGGCAGTGACAACACCAAGCATGGCAGTGACAACACCAAGCAGCACGGGCGTGCTGAAGTCAGTGAACTCAAAGAGCGGCGGCACGGCAAAGGCGAGTGCGGTGAGCCGATCCAGGGGCAAACTACAAGCTGGTAGCAGGTCGTATCAGTTTGCTCTTACATGGTGAGAAGGAGGAGTGCCAAGTCGAAATGTATGGCAATCACCACGCCCAGCACCACGGGCGTACTAAAGTCAGTGAACTCAAAGAGAGGAGCCACGGCAAAGGAGACTGCTATGAGAGTGGATGCGATGGCTGCCACGAGGAGCAGCGAGGGGAAGAAGGCCGCATCAAAGTTGTGGGAGGAGAGCCTGTGTGTGGGTAGTGCGAGGGGGGGAAAGGGGGGGGAAACAGAGAGGAAGGGGAGAGAGTGGGGAATGGGGGGGGAGAGGATATGTGGAGGGGTGAGACCATGGCTAGCAACAAAGGCGGGTGCGATGAGAGTGGATGCGATGGCTGCGGAGAGGAGCAGCGAGGGGAAGAAGGCCGCATCGAAGTTGTGGGAGTGAAAGATTGTGAGGGGGGGAGAGGAGAGGAGAGAGAGGAGAGGGAACATTCGACGTATGGAGCACGGGGTGAGAAGAGAAGTGGGAAGAAGAAGTGTGAAGCAGGGCTGCAAGTGTGTATACGACGGCTGGCACCCATATCAAGGACTTCCCCCAGCCAGAGGTGACCTTTGAGTCGACGCAAAAGCCACGGGGCAATAAGAGAAGTGGGAAGCGCGGCGGCAAGTGTGTATGCAACTGCTGCTACCCATATCAAGGACTTCCCCAGGTCTTCTGGGATACAGGGTGGCACTCGAACAACATCAGCCGGCCTCTTAAAGCCTAGAGCCCCATGAAGGGCTTTTGAGTCGCCTGGAGCCCCATGAAGGGCCGGCCATTCTTCAGCACACATATGAGGAATCATATCAAGAATCATATCAAGAATCATATCAAAGAATCATATCAAAGAATCATATCAAGAATCATATCAAGAATCACCTGAAGGAGCCTCGCAGCAGCTGCCACTGCGCATGCCACGTCAACATCTCGCTCTCCGACCCCAGAATCAGCTGCTGATGTGGACGGTACCCGGGCAGGTACAGCCTGGATAAGCCTCTGGATAAAACCTCCCTCTCCCTCGCTAATGAGACAACCCCTCTCTCTTGAATGATCCTTGGTTCTGACAAACCTGCGCTCCCACTTCCTAAGGATTGCCTCGTCCCTGCTGCTGCTGCTGCCGCCGCTGCTGCTGCTGCCGCCGCCGCTGCTGCTGCCGCCGCTGTTGCTGCCCCTGCCTTCGCTGCTTCTGTTGTTGCCTCTGCTTCTGCTACTGCTACTGCTGCCCCTGCTTTTGATGCTTCTGCTGCCGATTCCTCCACTGCTGCTCCTGCGGCTGCCTGCCCTTGCTGCTTGTTCTGCCGCTTAACATGCTGCCAGAGGTGCTGCTCCATCCCCCTAGGGCTATCCACTCCTGCCCCGCCATCCTCCTCCTCACCAACTCCCGTGCCTTGCCCTTCCTCTCCCTGCTCCCGCGTCCTTCCCTCACCCACACTCCCGCGGATCTCTCTCTCCTCTCTCCTCTCGCTTCCCCCCACTACTTCCCCCGTCCCCTTAGTTCTCCCCTCCACACACCCCTCCACCTCCTCCCCTCCCCCCCACTCTACTACAGGGTCGCCAATCCCAACCTCTATCCCACACCCATCATCACTCCCACTCCTATCACCACTCCCACTCCCACTCCCACTCTCCTCCCCCTCCCTTTCCCCCACACCTCCCCTCTCTCCCACGCTCCCTCCCTCCCCTACTGCTATCGGGAGGTGCATATAGAGAGCAACAAAGGCGGACACCAGCAGCCACAGCAGCAGCAGCCCAACACAGCAGAGCCAGAGCACGCTAGACCCCAGTATAACCTCCTCGCCTTTAGTCACACCCCAAGGTGCTAGTGCCTCCCTCCATTCAGCACAGCACTGCGCTACCGCACCTGATACCGAATCAGATGCCGAACCGGACACTGAGCCGGACATCGAAGCTGATTCTGCCGAACCTGGGATTCCTGCACAATGCACCGCCGAGCCTAACCCCTCCAAGCCTGAAACCACCGAGCCTGATGTTTCCGAACCAGGCGCCACCACCTCCGAGCCTTGGCATGTGGAGCTGGAAGTAGAAGCTTGGCCGGGCAGCTGAAAGCCTGCTCCCGGGCAGACAACAAATAATCGAATGCCCGCAAGAAACCAGGGCAGGAGGAACAAAAGAGCAGCGAGAGAGAGCAGGGGGGGCAGCAGCAGCAGAAATCGGACGGCTCTGGATGGGAGAAGCCCGGTCGATCGGAGGGCTGAGGATGCGAGAGAGAAGTGGGTGGGGTGGTGGGAGCGAGGGGAGGAGAGGAGAGGAGACGGGGGGGATTGGGGAATGAGGAGGAGGAAGAGGAGAATGAGGCCTATGGAACCCCCAAGGAGGGAGACGAAGAGATATAGCAGCCGCTGGTCAGGGGAGATGCCTAACGGGTGCGGCATAGGCGGGTCAGAGACGTGAGAAAAGAGTGGTTTGAAGCGGCGCTGGAAGGAAGAGGCCGAGAAGCTTCGATGGTTGGAGGGGTGGGGACTGGAGGGGTGGGGACTGGACGGGTGGGGACTGGACGGGTGGGGACTGGAGGCGTGGGAAGTGGTGGAGAGGGATCGGGGTCTCTGGTGGGTGTGGCTCGTCTCAAGCTGGATTGGCCTTTTACTCGACTCAAAGCCTGTCTGGACTTGGATTGGCCGCGGCTGTTGCGCTATAATGGCTTCGGTAGTCACGCATAAGCATATTAACAATAAAAGCAGCGTTAACGCGCGGAGAGCAGCGGCAGAGAGACGGGAGAGGAGGTATAGCGACCCTAGGAGGAGCGGTAAGGGCGAGAGTATGGAGAGGAGGAGGGCGAGGAAAGGCGTGAGGGAGAAGAGAGGGGAGACGAGGCGGAGGAAGGAAGAGCAGGACCATGGGGGATAGAAGAAGCGGGTTTCGCGGAAGGTGAGGTATGCTAGGAGGAGGAATGTGAGGAGGGAGAGGAGGAAATTGTGAGTGGGGAGGAGGATGGTGTGAGAATCCGCTTCGTTTATGAGATTATGCGCGGATAAGTGGCGTCTGATGGGGCGCGCTATAACGGGGCGTGCTAATAGCGGGGATTGTAGGGATGATTGCGAATATGGGAGTGACAGGGAAGGGGGGTTGTCTGAGGCCGGGTGTGATTGTAGCGGATGTGACTGAGGGGAACGGAGTGGGTTGCCATTAGGCGATGTAAACCTGGTGTGACGAGGAATGGCTACCGTTGATTCTGAATCAGCTGTTGATGCTGACGTCAGTATTGACGTCGTGGTCTGCTGCCTCGCTGGCTCGGATGACGTGGCTGCGTCAGTGGGATGTACTGATTGGCTTGAGATTGCTGACGTGGACCTTGAGTCAGGAGTAGCTGTGCACGTTTCATCTGATAAGCCGGCTTGTGCTTCTATCGAATGTGCTTGTAAAGAGGACGACACTCCTCCCGAAAGAGAGGTGCTTTCCGGGCGTGGAATCGTGGATATGATTGGCGGTGGGGAATGAGCGGGGGGTAGTGGGCGGCGAAGGGTGCTTGACTGCTCCATGTGAAAGCATGGAGGAGAGCGAGCAGTGAGAAGCTAGCAGTGAGAGCTAGCAGTGAGAGCTAGCAGTGAGAAGCAGTGAGAGCTAGCAGTGAGAGCTAGCAGTGAGAGCTAGCAGTGAGAGCTAGCAGTGAGAAGCTAGCAGTGAGAAGCTAGCAGTGAGAAGCTAGCAGTGAGAAGCTAGCAGTGAGAAGCTAGCAGTGAGAAGCTAGCAGTGAGAAGCTAGCAGTGAGAAGCTAGCAGTGAGAAGCTAGCAGTGAGAAGCTAGCAGTGAGAAGCTAGCAGTGCGATACCACCGAGGAGGAGAGCCGCTGCGTGACCATAACGAGGCACTTGGAAATCTCGGAGCATGGACGGGAGCTAGCAGTCCGAGGAGACGACTAAACCGGGGAGGAGAGCTGCTGCGTGGCTATAACGAGGCACTTGGAGGAGATTTCAGCGTGCAAGTCTCAAAGAACTGTGCACGGAATAAAGAGTTGGTGCAAAAAAAGGAGGCGCTGCCGTTGCGCGACATCAGCAGGCAGAGCAACATCGACGGTGATCGGCTAACAGTTGGACGAAAATTGTCAGCGACGAAATGATAAGAAGTCCCTTTTCCTAGAAGCACTGGAGTTTGATGACCTAGGACTAAGGAAAAATGGGCAGAGTACCTTGCCGACACTGCGTGAGTCCGGAGCGACATCCGGAAACTGGGCTTCTGCAATGGAACGGAATTGAGCGAAAAAGGCATCTTGTAGATGCCTTGGCCTTGTGACGCTGGTAGATTCCTTATCGCTGGTCTGATGGATTCCGCTTTCCTCCTGACTAACAGATCAGGGAGGCTCGTGTCGTGGAAAATTGACCGTTGCTTTTGTTACTACGTGGATTCGAGCGAAAGACAACGACGGACTGGGTGGATGAAATCTCCCGTGGTTACCAGCTCGTGAGTTGGCTACTTGCTAGGTGACGATAAGATTTCGGCTGTCGAAACATGAAAAACAGCTTCGTCATAAGGAGAAGCATCTCGTCAGGGCGTCACGACTTCGGCCAGTTTGCAATATTTTCGCAATATCTCCCCGTTGCGAGAGGTACCCCGTTTCGCCAAGCCTCGTTTTCCAGTTTCGGTTCGCGAATATCGCGAACCAGCAGGCCTCCCTTGCACAGCCAGTTCACCCACTATTCATCACTCTCCAGCGAGATGCTTGGGGAAAGTCCAAATAATTCAATTAGGTTTTTTGGACACGTTTTTACGAACTCAGGTACAGCTGAAAGCGATCCCGAAATCGTTTCCCCCAAAACCGCGTCCCATATTGCGAATGAAAATAGACACAAAAAAAACGGTTTGCCTCAGGTGCCCCAAATCGCAGTTACCAAAAGTCGCAGCCCACAGATTTTATGTTTCGTGTAGGGTTGGGTGGCAGGTGCGATCGTTGCGTTACGCGAGATGTTCGCAAATTCGCCTTAATCTCGTCAAGCCCAGCTAGGCGAAACTCCAAAGCGCCACACGTGTCACCCACCCCCAAGCCTACACTACCGTCACCCGATTCGTAAACGAATCTTGACTGGCGTACATGCACCTTCACATGCGTCGAGCGTCCGAAGTTACGGCAATTTCGCGCACTTGTCCTCGCAAAATCAAAACGAGGCATAAAAATCGGGTTACTTTTCCTAAAATGTATAGATTGTGAACTATTTGGACCCGCCCTATACGAACTGTACAACTATGATAGTTGAGGGAAGAAGCACAGGCGCGAGGTTCTAGAAGCGTCAGACGGGATGCACTCTGCTAAGCCCCTCATTGCTCATTCTCTCCCATCCCAAGCGTTCATATTCGTCGCGCCGACACCGCGACCCCAGCACGCACCACTCCCCTCCCATCACCTTATATCTCCGTCAACCCGAGTATCGGCAAGAACAGCCATAGCACCCGTTCCGTCGTTGCAAAAAACATTGACCAATCCGGCGCGTCGGTTATTTCTCATTTTCTGAAAAGCTACCACTACCCACAGCCGCTATGGCTACAGCTACAGTCGGTTGCAGATTAGGATGGTTCCCGAAGCAGCTTCCCAAGCCTAGTGCCTCGGCACATAACCCGGTTCTGCTTAGTAAACCGCGAATCAGAAGCTCTAATCTATCCGCGGTTTGCAAAAACGGGAAGATTAAGGAGCTAGTACCGCGTCGGCTTTATAACGCGGATACGAGGACCCGTACCAAGCTTTCGACCAAGTGTAATGCGCTGTCTGACAACCCTGGCAGCCCTGACGCGGTAAGCCTCTTCAAACGACGGCGCTATCTCTCACAGCCCTGACTCGCCCTGCCCTTGAGGTGTCAGGTTGGCGCGTGCTCGCCTCCTGCTCTCTGCTCGCCTCCTGCTCTCTTCGCTTCTCACTGCCCCTACTAACAGAGAGCTTTTGGGGCGCCTCAAAAGCACTCTCACTGCCCCTACTAACAGAGAGCTTTTGGGGCGCCTCAAAAGCACTCTCACTGCCCCTACTAACAGAGAGCAATGTGACAGGAACATGCATCATGGGAGTCGATTACGCATGTCGGTTCTGCATTCTTATGTCTCAAGGCGCATATTTCAGTCCTATCAGGCATTGTTGGTCTACGCCATTCTCTCCAGTGACACATTCATCACCCCATGCTTCTCACCATGCTTCTCTGACCCTCAACGATGAACATTTCTCTCTTCCGCCCCCATCCCTCCCCCCTTCCTTTCCCTCAACGATTAAGAATTCCATATGCCTATGTTTCTCCCCACTGTCGCCCAGCCCACCTCCCTCCCCCAAATAGGAGAGTTGGAGCTACCTCCCCCCCCCGCCTCCAGCTCTTCCTCGCCTGATCCATCTGCTGATGCTCCCTCTGCAACCTCAGACTCGGCATCACCAGCAGACTCAGAAGCAGGCTCGGTGTTAGGCTCGGTGCTAGACTCGGACCCGAGCCTGCGGCGCAGTGTGCAGGTGACGTTCACATGTGGCGTGTGTGGGGCCCGCACCTCAAGGCTTGTCAACCCGCTGGCATTGAAAAAGGGCACAGTGTTTGTGCAGGTGAGTAGGGCAAGAATTGTTTGGGGGGGGGGGGGGGGAGGAGGAAGGGGGGGGGAATCTGGGGAACAATGGGAGTAAGAGAAAGGTTGAAGGGCCTCTTGACCTGCTAGCGCACTGTTTTTGCTATTCTGACGAATCTGACTTTGTAGCAATGGAAGCACAAAAGCTTGCTTATCCACACCTTTACTGCCATGCTTTATGATCTGAATCCGAACTCCTTGCATTGTTCCCATTCAACCCTTCGTTGTTATCTTGCCCCCTGTTGTTCTCGCACCGCCTAATGAGGTAACACACTAAAGCTATAGGCCGATCTGCACTTCATGAATGCATGAGTTTACGTACAAAGTTCCCATTCCATCCTTTGTTGTCACCTCGCCCCCCCCATTGTTCCCACACCGCCTTGTTTCCACCCCACATCCTTCGTTCAATGTGCATTTGCAGTGTGGTGGCTGTGAGAAGTTCCATCGACTAGTGGACAATCTTGGGCTCATTGTGGAGTATGATTTCCGGAATGAGAGTGAGAGTGAAAGTGGGAGTGAGAGGGGTTAGTCTTATGTCCGCAGTGCAACAAGTATGCACTCTAGTGTAGGGTGTGATTGAAAGAAGTTCCATTCAGGAATGAACGTGAAAATTGGAGTAATTCCGTATTACAGGTTCTAACATGTATTTTTGTCACTAAGTAATATTTCAGTTCTTCCTGGGCTGTCCAATTTCCGCTAAAATCACGTTCGAGGACCCACGTCGAAGGGCAGTGAACCAACGCCGAACCACCCAGGAACTAACGAGTGGTCTCGATTCGTCTAGCATCATCCAGCGGCTCACATTCTCTCGATTGTTCCATAAATAAGCAGTGTACATTATCGCGCGACGCGGTGGTAACTTCTAGGAGAAGCCAATTGACGGCAGGCGATCCATATTTCCTAGCCGTTTTGCGATTCTCCATATTTCCCAGCCTTTTGGTGATTCTCTGTAATTGGTAGCTTTCTGGCGCTTTACCACTGGCGAACCGTTTTCTTTTGTGCCTTTTCCTCCTCTGGCTAGTTCGAAGACAGTTCGCTTCCGCCAGCCATGGATTTCGAGCTGCGGAGGGCGCAGCAGCGGTACGAGAAGGAGCAGCGGGAGAAGCGGGAGAAGGCGAGGGTGAAGGCGGAGAGGGAGCGGAAGGCCAAGGAGGAGATCGAGGCGCGCAGGCGGGCCATCGAAGAGGCGCAGCGGATCAAGCGGCTGGAGGAAGCCGCGGCTGCTGAAGCGGTGAGTGATTCAATTCGATTCGATATGATTCGATTCGCTGCGCGTCATCTCTTTTCCCCCGTCTCCCCAGAGGGCTATCGAAGAGGCGCAGGGACTCAAGCGGCTGGAGGAAGCGGCTGCTGCTGAAGTAGTCGTCAATTCTGCCGTTGCTTTCTCTTCCGAACCCTCTTATCTTTCGCGCTTCATCTCGTTTTCCGCGTCTCCTCGATTATTTCTTCGTCATCTCTCTGTCAGGCGCGTCGGCAGCTGGATGCCGATCTGCAAGCGGGCGGCGGCATCCGCGTCAATCGCGAGCCTTCCTTAAACTCATACCCCATCTTCCCCTTATTTCCTCTCTCTCCAACTCGCTCCCCCTCTCTCCGTCATTCTCCCCCGCCAGGCGCGTCTGCAGCTAGATGCCGATCTGCAAGCGGGAGGCGGCATCCGCTTCAATCGCGAGCTGGTCCCCGTGGCTATAGCGGGCGACCGCGATAAGATCACGCTGCCCCAGTCCGTGCTGTCCGACCTCCCTCTTAACGAGGCCCTCGATAGAGGCCCCATGCTCTTCGAGCTCTCCGTTCCGTGTGCCGCTGGCGGAAGCACGATCGGCGGAAGAGCAGCAGGCGGAAGCATGCTTGGTGGAAGCGGAAGAGGTGGGGGAGCGGAACATAGTGCGGGGGAAAGGGGAATGGAGGTGGATGGGGAGGAGGAGGACGATGACGCAGACGAGGGGGATTATGCGGTAGATGTTCATCTTAACGGGGGTGATTCTAACGGGAGGAGAGTGAAGCGGAGGGTGACGCACGGAGGTGTTTTGGAGTTTACTGCACCTGAGGGCTGCGTAGGCCTCCCTCCTCTTATCCTCCGAAATTTAGGGTTATCAGGGATTATAGACGTCTTTAATTCGACTACTAGCCCCCCGCCTGTGCGCGTCCGTTTTGTCCGCCTTCCTAAAGCCACGTTTGCGAGACTCCAGCCGCTGCGACACGGGTTCCTTGCTGACGTGGCGAACCACCGCGCTGTGCTGGAGGCGGCGCTGCGGGGCCAGGCGGCGCTGACACGTGGCGACGTGCTACTGGTCGGGTCGGAGGTCGGGGAGGTGGCGGTGCGCGTGTGCGAGGTGAAAGGGGTGGGCGGCGCGAGCGGCGCTGCTACAGTGATTGATGCTGACGTGGAAGTTGAGTTAACACCATGGGAGGGGGAAGGGGCAGGGGGGAGCGGGCTGGGGAACAGGGAGGGGGGGCGGAAGGGTGAGGGGAAGGGGAAGGGGAAGGGGAAGGGGAAGGAAGGAGAAATGGAGGATTGGGGGAGGGATGGGAATGAGGGAGAGGGGATGTGGGCCAGGGCCGGTAAGGGAAGGAAGCTGAGGGAAGAAGAGAGAGGCGAGGAGAGAGAGGAGGGGGCTGAAGATGGAAGCACAAGTGGCGGTTTAGGGAGGTTTGGAGAAGGAAGGGGGGGAGAGGAGGGAGGAGTGGGGACAGGAGGAGAGGGGGGTGTCAAGAGAGAGGTGATTCACGTGGGGAGTGCGGATAGGCGGTTAGTGGTGCTGCCGATAGGGGGGAAGGGAGTATCAGGAGAGATTAAGGAGGGCGAATGGAGGTATTTTAAGGTGTATGTGGATGGACGGCTGGCCAGACGGCTGTATCTGGGTGAGGTAGAACTGGCGTTCCAGCTGAAGGTTGAGAGGGGGGCGGCTGAACTGGACGCTGACGTGGCACGCGGAGGTGATGACGTGGCGGAGGGCGATGCTGACCTGTACCTGTCCAGGCACCCGATTGTGTACCCCTCGTTTCTGGACCATGACGTGGCATCCATTCTCCCTATCGGCTCAAAGACACTAAGCCTTTCTGCATCAACACTATCAGAAACGGCAGCAGCATCAGCAGCAGGAGCAGCAGCAGCAACAGCACCTGCAGCAAGAGAAGCAGCGACGGTTCTAGTACCAGCAGCAGCAGCAGCAGCAGCAGCAGCTGAGGAGCTTAAGGATCCTGCCACGTACACTATAGCAGTGCACGGTGCAGCAGGCATATGCAGGTTTAATCTGTCTGCACAGACTAAGGAGTTAATCTCCTCGGATTCAGCTGCAGCTGCAGACCAGGCTATGGCTACTAATAATGCACCTGCACCAGGAAAGGAGGCGATTTCTGCTGGTTCTGCTGCTGCATCCCCTCCCGACCAATCCCGTTGCGGCAACTGTCGCCAGCTCATCGCCACGCGCACGCTGCCGCTCCACGAGGCATACTGTTCCCGGCACAACGTTGTTTGTCCGCATCCCGGATGCGACTTGGTGCTGAGAAAAACCGACTTGGAGTCAGGGAGTCACCAGCACTGCCAGGAGTGCGGGGAGGTGTTTGGGGGGAGGAGGGAGAGGGAGAAGCATGAGCAGGTTCGGCACGGGGAGATTGCGTGCGAGTGTGGATTCGAGGGGAAGGCATCTGACGTGGTAAGTGATTAGTAGGGATAATGCAATCTAGCAGTAGGGAGAGTCACCAGCACTGCCAGGAGTGTGGGGAGGGGTTTGGGGGGAGGAGGGAGAGGGAGAAGCATGAGCAGGTTTGGCACGGGGAGATGGTGTGCGAATGTGGATTCGAGGGGAAGGCTTCTGATGTGGTAAGTGTGATATGGTTGAGGTCTTTAGCTCTCTGCTACTAGGCTTGCTGCCTCAACCATTCTTATTCTGGCTGTTTCACTTGGCTCATCGAGGTGACTTTTGAGTTGACTCAAAAGTCACTTTGCTCATCACCCTCCATTCTCCACACCCTCTATTTGAAGGGTGTTTTTGCATATTCTCCCACCCTCTATTGTGCAGGGTGTTTCTGAGAATTCTCCCCGCCCTCTATTTTGCTGGGTGTTTTTGAGAATTCTCCCCACCATCAAACAGCTTTGCTGTGGGGCGCCACTGCCCCTTCTGCTGCTATTCTTTCAATTACTTTCTGCTCATGTCTTGCTTCTTCCCCCCCCACCCCACCCCCCCCCACCCCCCATCCTCTTAACTTCCAATCCAACAGCGCCACCATCGTCGCACCACCTGTCCTCGCCGTCCTATTCTCTGCCGCTTCTGTGCTGCTCTCGTGCCGTCCCTCGGCCCCCCTGCCTCCTCCCGAGACCGCCTGAACGGCCTCTGTGCCCACGAGGCCCAATGTGGGGCCCGCACTGCCCCCTGTGACACGTGTAAGAGGCCGGTGATGCTGAAAGAGATGGATGTACACGTGGCAGCTTTCCATTCGCCAGCAGCGACAGCAACGGCAGGCCCAATAACAATGCCTGCCACGTCAGCAGCAGCACCTCCAGGTGGCGGGAGGAGCATGCGCGCCGGGACAGATATGGACGAAGAGTCCAACTGGCAAGGGTTTGGCAGCGCTAGTGATCGAGAGCAATGGGGTAGAGCCTTTGCAGGTGGCTTTGCTGGTGGTTTTGGTGGGGAGGAGGGGGAAATTGAGGGGCGAGTTTTGGAGGGGGTGGGGGATGTTGGTACTACGAGGGGTGGGAGTCTGGGGGGAGATTTGGAGAGGACGGGTGGGGCGGTTTCTGGGCGGTCGATGAATGTGGGGTGCCCTATTTGTGGTGTAATGGTGCACAGCGAGCGAGACCTCAACGTGCATCTAGATGCTGCTCATTGATATGAGTGCACGATAATATATTTGACATGTATTTTGCATCTTTGAAATGTTAAGTTGAAGTTTAGTTGGTATGGATGGAACGGGGTGTGCACGAAGTAGCATGGCGCGTTTCGCTATATCGCATCCTTCCGAGCCGAGTCTTGGTACTACAGCCGCCAGCACGCGTATTACCTCCGCCAAGTGCGGCGGCTTTCGCTACAGCTCCCACCGCCTCAAGCTTTCGAGACGTCTCTCACAACTCTGCTTTCCCCGCCACTGCGCCACCCGCGCTGCGCCATTCGCTACTGCTCCCCTTGCCGCGAGATTTCTAGCCGTCTGACAACTCGGCTTTCCCCGCCACTGCGCCACCCGCGCCACCCGCGCCACGCCATTCGTCCGCCTTCCGCCACCCACGTCAGCAGCCAGTTTCCTCCATTTCCGCGAAATATCCTTCGGTCTTGAGAATTCTCAGAGACAAAACACCTCCTCCAAATTCGCGATACCCTTTGACGAACCACCCATGTCGTTCGGGTTCATCTACTACCGCGATCTCCGTCCCCCCGCGATCGACGAGCTCCCCGCATCTCTCGCCGTTTCCCCCATCGCCGTCCCCTCATAGCCGAAATCCTCTCGCTGTTTTTCAAGGCGTTCGTCCCCACCTTCGCCCCCACCTCCGTCCACCTCCGTCCACCTCCGTCCACCTCCGTCCACCTCCGTCCACCTCCGTCCACCTCCGTCCACCTCCGTCCACCTCCGTCTACCTTCGTCCACCTTCACAACATGTCGTTCGGGTTCATCTACTACCCCGATCTCCGCCCCCCTGCGATCGACGAGCTCCCCGCGTCGCTCGCGGCGCTCAGCGAGGAAGCCGTGCTGGCGGCGCGCGAGGCCGCGTACGAGCAGCAGCTTATAGCGGTGCGCGCCTCTAACGAGGACACCGCGCCGATCGGGCAGGCAGGGGGGAGGGAGAGGGAGGGGGGGGAGGTTGAGGGGGAGGTGGAGGAGGAGGAGGAGGAAGAGGAGGAGGAGGGGGAGGGGGATGCGATGGATGGTGGGGGGGACGATGGGATGAGCGACGAATTCGGGCAAGAGACAGGGGGGGGATTGTAGGGTGTGAGAGGTACGGCTGTGATATTAGAAGCAGTGATGAGAGACGGTGTGATAATAGAGGGCGTGGTAATGCAGGCAGTGCCGTGGATGGCGGGGGGGACGATGGGATGAGCGACGAATTCGGGCAAGAGACAGGGGGAGGGTTGTAGCCGCAAGGGTTGTAGCAGGGGGGCTGTATTGTGACTGTGCTTATACAGGCAGTGATAGTAACGGGTATACTGGATGGTGGGGGGGTTGATGGGATGAGTGATGAATTCGGGCAAGAAACAGGGGGAGGGTTGTAGCCTAGCAGGGGGGAGATAATAGTGTGACTTGGTTCGGATGTGATAATACACGCAGTGCTAATCAAGGGTGGTGCAGGCAGCAGGCTGTGTGTTGCAGGGATGGAGGCTGGTGCCTTTAGGATGGTGGGGGGACGATGGGATGAGTGATGGATTTGGGCAAGAAGCAGGGGGAGGGTTGTCGTGTGAGAGAATTACAGCCGTGGGTTTAGAGGGCGTGGCAGAGCAGGCAGCTCCATGGACGGTGGGGGGATGATGGGATGATCAGTGATGAACTTGGGCAACTGGGGGAGGGTTGCAGCAGGGGAGGGTTGCAGCAGGGGAGGGTTGTAGCAGGGTAGGGTTGTAGCAGAGGAGGGTTGTAGCAAGAGGGGGGGGGGGTTGTGCTGTGACTGAGTTACAGGCTGTGATCAAGGGGGAGGGGATCATGGGATGAGTGATGGGCTTGGGAGAGAGGGGGGGGGGGGGGGGGGGGGGGGGTTTGTAGCAAGGGGTGTTGTTGTGTGAGTGTGATAATACATGCAGTGATTGTAGAGGGTAGGCTACTGTGATAGTGCAGACGGCATAATGGATGGTGGTGGGGAGGATGATGGGATGGGTGATGCATTTGGGCAGGAGACGGGGGGTTGTAGTGTGACTGATCAAGGCTGTGATAATACAGGATGGCGGGTGGTGAGGGTGGTGGTGGTGTCGGGCAGGGGTGTTGGTAGTGTGAGTGACTGGCCTAGGATTGTCTCGTGATTCCGGCAGGTGTGGATTTTTACAATTCTCGAAAACCATATCTCGAAAAGCAATTCTAGAAAACTTCTTCAGAGTCGTGCATGCATGAGAAAGCATGTGTGTGGTCGTGCATGCTGCGTTGCGCCCCTGGGCATGGGGTGGTGTCAGCATGTGGAAGAGTCTGTTCCGATGTTGTTACCATACGTGTAACATGCTTGTACACTGACATTTTGTGTCAATCTATCAGGCTATGGCTCACACCAGTCACGACTCGCAATAAATCAGGCTGCATTAGCGGTGCTGCAAGGTGTGGTTTGAAGGAAAGTGGGACCTGCTGGAGCAGATACCGGTATTTGAGTCCAGACTCCAGTCCAGAAGCAACTACAATACCAGTTCCTCTTGAGGAGGATCAAACAAAACCATCAATGAATGATGAGCTCATGGCATGGCATGTGTGAAGCATCAACTCCGGCATAAGGCATGCATGATGCACCCCTTCCGCCCTCCTTCAACCCCACCTCTACCCCCGGCCGCCCACCATCCCCCTCACTTCCTCAACCCCCTTTCTTGAGGGTTTGCCAGTCAAATTCAAAAGCTGTTTTCCTTCTCATCTCCTCTTCTTGCCCCCCTTGCCCTTCTTCTCAGCGCCCCCTGCTCCTCCGTGCGACCCCCCAGCCCCCCCTCCCCCTCCTCCCCCTTCCTTGTCCTTGTCTTTCTTGGTCCGCCCAACATGCTTTGGTATAAGCTCCCCCAGTTTCAGCATAAGTGCCATTTCTGTAAAGCATGGTTGCGCAGTGTACAAGCCATAGTGTTGCCATGTACCCGTGGGGTAGATGGTAGTACAAGGGAGCAAGCCAGAACAGATGGGAGCTGCTTGAAGCAATTTTGAAAGCAGGCTTAAAGGGTGACTGAAAGGAAAACAATAACCATGGCAAGGGCAAGCTGAAAGCCTTGCCCCGAGGCAAGTGGAACCGTTTACCAGGCATGATAGACAACAAAAAGCAATTGTAAATCCGCACAAGCACGTACTGTTAGGGATGTCGGGGTTGTGTAGCGTGTTGTCAGGCTTCTTTATCTGCACCCGAATGCGGCCTCGTTGAAAGAAGTCCCGCGAGTATGCCTTGTCTAGCTGTAACAGGCATGGGGGAGACACACAGACGCACACAGAACAGAGGTGCAGACACACACACACACAGGGGTGCAGACACACACACACAGGGGTGCGGACACACACACAGGGGTGCAGAGAGACACACCCACACACACACAGGGGTGCAGAGACACACACATGCACGGATGAAACCTGAGGGCTGTGCAAAGTGTTGTCAGGTGATTTTGCCTGCACTCGAGAGCGATCTCTTTGGCATCTAGAAGTAGGCTAGGTGCACGAGGCGACCATCCCTTGGATCTTCAGGCTCCTTTGAGTCGACTTGTACAGGGACGGTCAGACCAACGCACCTCAAGACAAGCTCACTACGGAGTGCACCAGGATCTGAAGGTGGGGCTGGTGAGTCGACCACAACCAGAATCGTCGGGTCCTCTTGAGTTGTTCAAGTCTCCTCGGTGTTTCTGAGAGTTCTAAAAAATACTCTGCAAAAGCACAAAAGTGCACCAGAGTCTGAAGGTAGGGCTGGTGAGTCGACCACAACCAGACTCTTCGGGTCCTCCAGAGTTGTTTAAGTCTCCTCGGTCTGGTGAATCTTCAGTGTACTCTCACGACAAACCTCGACATGAGCGGGGATATTGAGGTAGGTGCACGTGTCAACCATCTCCTGAATCTCTGGGTCATTGTGAGTTGATTCAGCAGTCACCTTAAAATAAAACTACATCCCGATATAGTGCCACACCCCGATATAGTCCCACACCCCGACATAGTGCCACACCCTTTCGTAGTGCCACACCTCGAAATAGTGCCACGCCTCGATATAGTGCCACACCCTGCATAGTGCCACACCTCGATATAGTGCCACACCTCGATATAGTGCCACACCTCGATATAGTGCCACGCCTCGATATAGTGCCACACCCTGCATAGTGCCACACCTCGATATAGTGCCACACCTCGATATAGTGCCACACCTCGATATAGTGCCACACCTCGATATAGTGCCACACCTCGATATAGTGCCACACCTCGATATAGTGCCACACCTCGATATAGTGCCACACCTCGATATAGTGCCATACCTCAGTATGATGCCATACGATACTCTCCTCTGCGTGCATGGGGATATTCAATATAAGTGCACTAGTCGACCATCTGCTGAATGTTCGGGTCATTGTGAGTTTACTCAACAGCCACCTCGCTGTAATCACACTGCACACATCAACTCGCTATAATGTCGCGCTTTACCACCGTCTAAGTCACCGAACTCACCTCAGCGTGCACGGGGATATCGAGGTAGGTGCACAAGTCGACCGTCTCCTGGAAACTCGGGTCACCATGAGCCAGCTCAAAAGTCACCTCGGTATAATGCCATGCCACAAACGCCATACTTCATGCCAAGCTCACCTCAGCGCGCACCGGGATTTTAAGATAAGTGCACGAGTCCACCATCTCCTGGATCTTCGGGTTCTCTTGACCAGACTGGTAAGTCTAGTCGGTATAATGCCACACATGTAGCGCTCCAAGCCAAACCCACCTCGGCATGCACCGGGATTTTAAGGTAGGTGCACGAGTCGACCATCTCCTGGATCTTCGGGTCCTCCGCCGCTTTAGTCACGGCGATCCGGCGGCCCTCCGCTATAGTCATCTTCGAGTTTATGTAAACGGGGTAGATGATTTGCCACCGTGAACGATCCGTGTCGTCCTCGGTCGCGGCACGAATCTCGACCATTGTGGGAGCTCGGCAGGTAGGATTTGGGTAGGTTGGAGTTCGGTAAGAAGGAGTTCAATGAGGAGTTCGGTAGCGAGGAAAACTGTAGGAAGGAGTTCGGTGGAACTCGGCGGGAGTTCAGAAAACCTGGCCGGACCTCAGTGCAATCTATATTACTAAAGGGAGAGAGCGAGCGTAGGGAGGGCTTGGCAAGAAAGAGCTAGGTCGAACAACGAGATGAAGAGTACAGGTGACGATGAAAGCGGCGAGAATTCTGGCGACTCGTCAGTCCGCGAGTCAGGCTGCGAGGGGATTTCAGCAGTCAAAAGGGGTGAATGAGAGGCGAGGCCGACGAGATGCAGCGAAAACAGTCCGCTGAAGATTCCCGTGAGAGATTTTTGAGATTTCTAAAAACTATTTCAGCTGTCGAAGGGGGCGAGTGAGAGGCGAGGCCGACGAGATACAGCGAGAATTTTCCACAGTAGATTCCAATGGAGAGAGCCTTCGCCTCTGCGTCTATACCCGTGGCGTTCGCGGTACCACTACTGCTAATTCCCTAGGACCAGGAACGAACCTGAGGCCTAGCTAATAACTATGGGTACCTTGGACCGCGTTGTTAGGGCTGGGCATGAGATAAGTGGGTGGGGTGAGGGAGTCGAACCATAATACCTCGATAATAAATAGAATTCGTTAGAATCAGCCCGTATTTGTTGAACATAGATTCTTTCCGTATGAGTTGTTTTACTGTTTCTTTTTACTTGTTCTTGCTCCAATCTAATTTTGTCAACTTAACCAGATGTTAGTAATTTTGAACAGCAAGCAATTTCCTATAGAAAAACTGTTGGAGAAAACCAAGAGTAAAAGTCAGTGGAATACTTCACACCTTGCATAAGAGATGTCATAAATGACAAGGAAAATAATAATGGATAAGACTATCGTGAGGAGAAAATTTGACTAGGTCTGCTATGAATGGGACTGCCGAGTAGCGCGGAGGGCAATGGCAAAACTGTGAACGAGTGAATGACAATAAAATGAAAGACAATACAATATATATAAAGCCTAGGGTGATCTTGGACATAGGATCGGAAGGTTCGGGAAAAGTGTCGAAGGGCCTCGATGTGTCGAAGCGAGGTCCGAAAAGGCCCAGGAGGCTCGAACTGAGAGGTCTGGAACCCTGACGATGGTTCGGGACTGTTCGAGTCGTACGCTCTGTAGCAAGCCTCGGTAAGGAATTACTCATTCCTTACTAGGTCATAGCAAGCACAGGGAATGTATCTAAGTATTGTACCCTATATAAATTGCACCTAGCTAGGCTATAGTTCATATATTTCTAACACACATATGTATATGAACTCTAACACACCCCCTAACCGGGCAAATCCTAGTCGGATACATCAATCCAGGACAGCACTACTAGTCTGGCCTCTATAGTATGTGAAAAACATCTTAGGGTAGCAAGACTAGTCCTACTACTTGCACAAGGTGTCAACATATAATTTGCATATGTTATAGGCAAGCTACGTGCATGCTTTAGTAGAGTACAATCCCTTAGGTTATATCCCCTTGCACCACCTCATTCTAGTCACTCTTTCTCACGTCGATATGGTATCACGCTAGGCTAGGTCTCCCCGCCCACCCGCGCTTCCGCCTTAGGCCTAGTCCTAGCCACCCCTTAGCGCCATGCTAGCCCCTTTGCACCCCCCCTCGGCCCCTTAGCGCCCCGCAGCCCAGTTAGCGGCCTCCTGGCCCCGTAGCACCCCGCCAGCCCCGCTAGGCCCCACTAGCCCCACTGGCCTCATCGCGCCCCATCAGCCCCGCTAGGCCCCGCTAGCCCTGCTGGCCCCGTCGCACCCCGACAGCCCCGTGCGCCCCGCCGGCCCCGCTAGGCCCCGCTAGCCCCGCTGGCCCCGTCGCGCCCCGCCGGCCCCGTTGCACCCTGCCGGCCCCGCTAGGCCCCGCTAGCCCTGCTAGCCCCATCTCGCCCCGCCAGCCCTGCTAGACCCCGCTAGCCCCGCTGGCCCCATCGCGCCCCGCCAGCCCTGCTAGGCCCCGCTAGCCCTGCTGGCCCCATCGCACCCCGCCAGCCTCGTGCGCCCCGCTGGCCCCGTAGGCCCCGCTGGAACCGTTCGCCCCGCTGCCCCGTTCGCGCCCCGCTGGCCCCGTTGAGCCCAGCTAGCCCGCTCGCACCCCGCTGGCCCACTAGCGCCTCGCTGGCACCGTCTAAACCCGCTGGCCCCGTGAGCCCCGCTCGCCCCGTGCGCACCGCTGGCCCCGTCGTGCCCCAGCTAGCCCAGTACGCGCCACCGGCCCTGTGCGCCCTCGCTGGCCCCGTTTCCCTCGCTGGCCCTATGCGCTCCGCCGGTACCCCAGCACCACTGGCCCCTGCTCTGCCGGCCACAGCTCGCCCCGGCCCCGCACCGACCAGCCGCCGCAGTGCCGTCGAGCCGACGTGTCGTTGCGCTGCCGCGTCGCTCTGCTGCCACCGACCCACGGGCCTTGGCTCCCTTCTGAGCCGGCGCACCTGCCAGCTGTTTCCACTGCTCCCCACCGCACTCCACCGCACTCCACCGCTCTCCCCCACGCTCCATCGCACTCCACCCCATTCGTTCTCCACCGCTCTCCACCGCACTCCACCGCCCTCCACTGCTCTCCACTGCTTTCCTTCGCCTTTCCTCCTCTTCCTGTCAGCAGCGTTCAGCCACTGCAGCCGTGGGGATGGCGGACTCCGAGCTTCGCCTGGACGTCGAGGGTCAGGCGATAGACTTCAAGGCGTGGCTCGTTGACCTCCGCCGTCACCTTCCAAGCATTGCAGACGGTCATTCTCTGGCTGTTCATGTCGATGGCCTACTTCCCAGCCCCGCTGTGCTTGTTGCCCTCCCTGCAGCCCCCACCACTGCTAGGCGTGAGGCCTTTTTCGCTGCTATGCTTTCTCGTGCTGTCTGGGACTCGCGCGACATTGTTGCGAAGCTTGCCATTAGTTACGCCCTCCCCCTGTCTGAGCGTCCGCGCTTTACCACTGTAGCGAACGCCCAGGAATTCTTAGAGGTCGTAGTTGCACAATACTCCACCCCCGCCTCCGCCTCTGCTTGCCACCTGATCCTACCCATGCTGTTCCCTGATCTTGCGTACTTCCCTACTGTCGCTGACCTTGCCACCCACCTCCACACGCTTGAGTCTAGCTACCGCGCTACTAGCACTGAGGCTCAGCTCACTGAATTTCCGCCACCGCTGTGCGCTACCCTGTACCTCCTTGCAACGTGCCTTCCTGATCACCTAGCCATAGCCCGCGACCACATCCTCAGTTAGCATCCGGATCACCTCACCCTTCCCGCCTTTATCGCAGCCTTGTCCGCAATAGAGTCCCGCCAGCGCACTATAACTCATTCTAGCGGTGCTGCACCGGTCCCTATCTTTCATGGCTGTGCTCCCTCCCAGTGCTCTTACTCTGACGTCTCTGTTACTGTTGCTGAGACTGCCACTGCCACCTCAGCGCAGTCGCGTCAGAGTAAGGGCCGCCGACCCAAGGGGGGGTATGGTGGAGGGAAGGGGAGTGGGGGTGGGGAGGGTGGAGGAGATGGGGGCGGAGACAGTGCTTCGGACGAGGGGACCGGGACTGGTGCCCCGGAGCAGCAGATGCAGCAGACGCAGCTTAAGCAGCAGCAGCAGCAAACTCCGCAGCAGCAGACTCCACAGCAGCAGCAGGAGCAGTCGCCATGGGGACCCCCGTTGCCATGGTGGACTAGCGGCACTGGTGGTGGTGGTCGTGGTGGTGGCGTCCGCAGCTCGGTGTCGGGTGGAGACTCCAGTGCGGTCACCTGCCAGTACCAGCTTCAGACCGCGGCATGTTCTGCAACTGGCCCGGCCACACCACCGACCGCTGCTACCGCCACTTGGATGACCTTTTCCGCCGCCGCTTTGGTCCCACGTCAGACCTCCTGAATGGTACGCTCTGGCTCGCCGCCGTGTGCCGATTTTTTAGCTTGACATGGATCAGATTAGGGCTGCTATATTTATTATGTATGCTGATGACTCTAGTGTGATTGGACCCAATTACTCGGTATTGCCTAGCGTAATTGTGTCCACTGTGTGTAGTCTAGGCTCCCCTGCTGCGTCAGGCGTAGGACTCATTGCCTTGTTTAGTCTAGGCTCTATGCTAGTCTCTTCGCCGGCTGATGCTACTGCGTCGCTCTCCTTTACGCTGGACACAGGCAGGTCTGCCTGCTTCTTTCGCGACCATGTTGCGCTCACCCCGATTGCTGCCCCCGCTGCTGTAACACTTGCTGACCCTTCCTCAGGTCTGATGGTAGCCCGTAGCTCCACTACCCTCCCCTGTCCGGCGATCCTTTGGGGTTCTCTTACAGGCCTGCACATCCCCTTGTTCTCTAGGAACCTAGTTGGTGTCGGATGTCTTCAGGACCTCGACGTCACCACTACGTTCCCTGGACACGAGCGGTACGCAGTCTGTACCGAGGCCGCCACTAGTGCCCCCCTAACCACGTTCCCTCAGGACCCGGTGTCCGGCCTGTTTACGCTTGACACTGCGTCCCCCTTGGTGAGGGCGTCCCCCCAGGGGCCTGCAGCGACTCGATCACCGTGGCTTGCTCGTGTCAGTCGCTTACTCACCCGTCGCTGCTGTGGCACCACCGCCTAGGTCACCCCGCACTCTCGCGTCTGCGTCACATGTCCCAGCACGGTCTTATCCTAGGTCTCCCTGCGTCGCTCCCTGCCCTACCTCCCTCACCTGCGCCGTCGTGCATGGCCTGTATCGAGGGCCGGCTGCACCGAGCTCCTCACTCCACCTCGCTTCGCCCTACCACCGCGCCACTCCAGAACCCGCACCTGGAAATCTGGGGCCCAGCTCCAAACCCTGGGCCGCGTCAAGAGCGCTACTTTCTAGTGCTTGTCGACGACTACACGTGCTACACCACAGTGTTTCCCCTGGAGCGGAAGGCCGACGTGCCTAGCGTTCTTATCCCATAGGTCGTAGCTGCGCGAGTCCACCGCGGTCTCCCAATGTTGCATCTCCACTACGACGTGGCGGCGAGTTTGCCTCCGGTCGGCTTGGCCAATTCTGTCGTGCGGAGGGCATCACCCAGTTGTACACCCTGTCGGACTCCCCACAGCAGAATGGGGTCGCTGAGCGACACATCGGTTTGGTCATGGAGGTGGTTGGTACCTCCATGATCCATGTTAGTGCACCCGATTTTCTGTGGCCGTTCGCCGTTCGCTAGGCCGCTCACAAGCTTAACCTATGGCCGCACTCCCAGCGGTCGCACGTTTCGCCGACCCTTCTTTGGACCGGGTTCCCTGGTGATGCATCTGCGTTCCACGTCTGGGGCTGCTTTGCTCACGTTCGTGCCTCTGGCACGGATAAGCTCACTTTTTGCACTGTTCCCTGTGTCTTCCTTAGTTTCCCGCTTGACACGTCTGACTGGATTTCTACCACCCGCCTTCTCACCGCTTCTTGCACTCGCGTGACGTCACTTTTGATGAGTCTGTCTCCTGCTACCACCACTTTTCTCACCGAGGTCTCCCGGTTTTGCCGCCCCTGTTTCTGGTTCCCACTCCCCAGGTAGCCCCTGCCCCTCCCCCTCCTCGTCCTGCGCCATTTGGTGT